CATTTTTTCCAATCCGAAAATTTTAGGTTTCCTTTTTCTTCGTACAGTGCTTAACCTGGGTAGTGAAACTCGAAAAATTAAACTTCAGAAAATAGTGGGAAATTTATTATATTAGCTTCGAAAATCGTACATGAATGGAATGGTCATCTAGAAATTTTTAGCAGTCCTGAAGCTATAGAAAATTCTAGACAATGTTGGCTTTTTCGAACAGATATTTTCCAGAAAAAAATTTCGTTGGGTGTCCTTGCTATTTCCTCTATACCTTGTTTAAACTTTTGCCATTTTTCGCATATTTGTATTTTTTATAGTTTGCACGAAATAAATAACTAACGACTGCTTAACTGGTGGACCTTTGCACATACCGAAAGGTATCATTTTTTTTTAAACCTGCAGAATCTTGACTGATGATTCCTAATAGAAAAAATACTTGCGTTAAATCTTATATCTGTTAACAAAGTAGAATTTTCCCGCCTCCGTAGCACTGTGATCAGACAGACTGAACTGTCTATGTTCACAGACGTTAGATGTTTCTGCCTGGCTTTTACTATGAATAGTTATAACGTATAAATTCATTTTCAAATCGCTAGGGAGGATGATTTTCCTGCTTAATATATTAATCAAAATTTGACCGTTAGCTGTTTACAATATCGATTGTCTTCCATTAAATTATATATTGATTTAGCCGGGGATATAACGGCTACTCATATCAACGCAAATGATCTTGAACTTGACTGACGTACATGCAACGTGTTTCATTTTGTACCCGTGGATACGCGAAGCGTGGAAAGGAGTTTTGTGGGCACTTCAATACGCAAATTACAGTCGGCTTCCAACTCGAGATGTCCCGATATCAAAAGAAGAACTTCTTGTAGATCCATTGTTACCTACGTCCACTGCCATCAAGGTTTACCTGATTAGTGTGTGTTAAATCGCTTCGATTGTTTCATATTACCACTAAAGCCGCAGTTACCAGTAATACGGGCAACAAAAATCTTGCAACTTGTTTTACTACATTGCTGCAAAACGAGTTGAATAGCGATGTTGGGCGTGGTAGAACGCGCAACATCGCTTTTCAATTGCACGGTTTTTTGTTGCCCGTTTTACCGTACCTTAGGGCCAAATTTGAGACTGAACTTCTGTCGTTTTACCTCGTCCAGGCTACACGGGGGTGCTGGGGCGGGGGGTACAATCACATGGTTTGAAATAGGAAACAAAGCACACAACAGCTGACAGAAGCTAAAAAGAGCTATTGGCGAGTCCATAAGCTAAAGGGTAACAAACATCCCTTGGAGAAAAAAGTCGAATTTTTCGTGAGATATACCAAACTTAGGTAGAGTTTGGTTCGTCTCATGAAAAGTTCGACGTTTGGCCTAGGCCTTACGTAATGAGTTAAGCTTTTATTTAATACTAGTTTCCCTGCCATGATAGAAAACCACATCAAGATTACAATGTGCCAAGTACAAAAGCACAACATACATAACAGTTTTTATATATTATTACATACACTGCACCTAGTTTCTATTTTTTTGGGAAGAAAGTTAATTTAACTGTTGAAAGTTGTTTCATACATTTCTCTTATTTACCGTTCTGAGCGGGACGTGAAATGTGCATCCACAGATGTGAGTGCACAGTCATAGCATATAGCACAATAGTTTATTGGAACTCCACGTAATTGAATCTTTAAAACGTAAACATTAAAAGTTGACACCTTTCTGAAAAAAAAACCTTTAGAATCCTTTTTACTGAAATTGTGTTCTTCATTTTATGTGTGTAGGTTTTCTACAGCGTCGTTTTATGATCTTTTACGCCCTGTCATCTTAAAACCTGTAAAATACTCAATAGGGCCTTGTTACGTGAGCCAGGAAAGCCCGGCTTTTCTGTATTTCAGTAAATTTTTATTTGATTGTTCTATAATTTCATGTATTAACATGTTTTAAACACGTAATTACAATAAAAAATATTGTTCAAATGAATTACGCCTTAAACTGCTGATTAAAAAGTATAATTGGAATTCAAGCTTTCGTCGATCAAAGATGATTAGCTCGTCATAAGTAAATAACCCACAAGTGATCTTTGAAAAACTGGTCGGGGTCATCCCTGTTTTCAGTTGTCAACAGACGAAAAGGAAGTTAGCGGTGTACTATCTGCGATTGAAACGGAAGAGAAAAAACAGAATTCAACATTTCACTTAGACCATAATGCACCTTGTTTAAGATTTTCTAACGGTCTAAAATAGTGTAAGAAAGAAGACAAAATTGCTAATAAAATTGGGTGGAACCATTATTTATCTTTTCAGTTAAATTAGGTTTTCGTTATGTACACCATTTTCATTCTTTCTCATTTTGCACCCTTTTCTCATTATCTGCTACTCCTACAAAGTCTAGACTCTGTGCCTTCTTTTTATCCCCTTCATAACATTCTGTACGATAATAAGTTGTCAAATTGTTACAATAAAAACAAAACTAAATACCAAGTACCTTTCCTTTTAATGCAAGATTAGCTTCTCGGAACCCACAATAGTCTAGATATTATTTGGCACATGGTACCCCACCCCTTCCTAGTAATTTAAACTGTAAAAGTAAGACCAAGCCTGCAAGCATTGGATGGACAGAGTAGTGAACACGTAACCTGAGAAAACAGCCGACATTTGGCGACGCTACCACCGGTTTCCCCGCCAAATGACATCTGGGAAACGAGAGCAGAAATTCCATACTGATGACGCGTCACTACCCAGCAATCAGGAACTAGCTTGTAGTCGAGGAACATGCGTCGGGGGGGGGGGGGGGGTGGGTCTCTTCTACAACTCCAGTATGAGCCCCGATTTCTTGCTAGTTCCAAATCATCAAAAAGAATAGTATTGGTGTATTTACGGTGTGAGATTTCTATTGCCAACATGTATCTTGGGTTTTCCCCCGATATGACTTCTTGGGGTCGTTATTCATTTAATGTTCGTTAACATCCTGAAGTGCCTTTAACATATTCACAAACAAATACTTGCGAAAGTCCAGTTAAGAGCACAGTCATTGGCCGTTTTCACACTAGAGACGGATTATCCGTTTGAGGAATATCCAGTGGATAATTCACGTCAGAGAGATAATATGTCTTGATTTGAAAATGGAGCGGTTTTAATTTTGGATGAACAATCCGCCTCACTTTTTTAATTGTCCATCTGTTTACCCGTCAATGTTGACAGATTTTGAAGATGGATTATCTGTCTTGATTCGGGTGAAGGGGGCAAAGGGAGGATAGAACGAGAACCACACGCTACTCTTACAGCACAGTTGGCCACGTGATTGCTTGTTAATCGGGAGACTGGTGTGCAAACACGGTTGGACCATCAATCCGGGACAAGGAATGACATCCTGCTAGGTGTGCACAAAAAAATCTTTACTTAAGCTCAGATGCTCTCAGCCATGAGCCAGCGATGATGAGGCGTTGGGATTGAATCTTACACCTTTCACCTTTCGCGATAATGGACTGGAACTACAATGAGGGACAAAAGTGTTGACACACTCCATAAAATGGCCCCTTTTTGCATAGTGGATATACTTATCCCCTTCCCCTGTCTACCCAAACCTCTTCCCCCCAAAATCAATGTTGAATTTTGGACCCTCAAGTCTTTTTTTTACTTCAGACAAGATTGATTCGGGGGGTGAGGGGATTTATGGCGTTTAAAAAGAATGAAATAATAAATGAATTAAATTTTTGTTAAAAGCACCCATTTTAAACAAGTGTGTCAGCTACTTTTGTCCCTGATTGTAGCTTACAATCGAGGCTTACGCATCTTATTACCTCGCATTTGCCTCGGTTGCAAGCTTGTTGCAGTCATCTATCAAGAATACGAATGCGGTCTGTTTAGTAAACGCATAAATAAAGACTCCGCTTTTCGAAAACAGCATTCCCTATTTGCACATCTCTTAATAATAATCATCTTTATTGAGGAAACTTTTTCATAAAAGATATGGTTATGAAAAATGACCTCAAATCTCTTGTAACACTCCTTTTTTGCCCCCCAAAATATTGCATAGTTTTTGTTTTAATTTCTCCTCGGTTTTATAGTCGTCCCAAGCGAAATTGAAGACAATGTGTGTACTAAATGTTGGGGGAAATTGTATATGTGCTAATTGCGAATGGAACCTAGTCCCGTTTGTGATGTCTAGCTGTCATTGTGGGTGTGAAAGAGAAGGGAGTGATCTCAAAAGGGACGGGAAGGTGTTCTGCTCTATTATTTGCCACTGTGGTGAAAAACACAAAGTAGCATTTAGTACGTGACAACTTCATTTTTTAAATCACCCTCGCTACACCCATGTCTGAAAAACCCCCTCTCATGTCGGTAGGACTAAAACTCTCTCTCGCTTTCTGTCATCCGCACACAAGGCTTAGTCCTTGGCCCTTTCCATAGCATCTTGTCACCCATGCCCGAAAATAAGTACTTAATAAAGCCTCTCTTATGTTAATAAACTTGAGGAAAAAAGTAATAGTGGAATAAAGCATTATTCATCGGAGGATCCCAAATCCTGACAGTTGCGCAACTTTGTACCTTCTAGCCCCATTTTAATGACCTCTTTGTCCTTACCGTCTTGTTTTTTTTCCTCAAAATTTAAGTTCTCTCAGAGCAGCCTGTTACTCCAGAGTTAGCCTGTCCGTAGCCTACGTAGCAAGCGTTTCCTTGCGGTTTCGGAGCAAAGAACGAGGAGTCGAGGAACGAGAGCGCAGAGTTCAGATTGTGGGGACCGGAGCGTGTTTTAAAAATCGTACTTGCTTTCTTTTGTTTGTTTTATATTTTTTCTGCTTGTTATTGTCATTGTTTTGCGTTTTGCTGTGTCTTTTTCCCCTATACAAAATAGAATTAGAATGCAAACAAATTGTTCTATTTCCCTCGCGTCAAAGTCCTCTGTCCACTCATCACCCACTTACAACGTTGGTAGTTTTTCACATGGCACATCATGTGACAGCGTTTGACCAATGAAATGATCTCTTCATGCTCCTTACTGAGCCAAGGTAGCGCCGGGGAATTTGCGCCGAGGCGGAAGCGCTGCAGAGAATCTGTCCAATTTCGTGAGGAATTTTTAAACTTCTAGCTGTTTTCATCAATCTTGCAGTCATGGGTTGATTCAATCTTCTCACCAAGCGTTTCCTTATGCCGAGCTGTGCCGAGATCAAAGCAAAGATGGTTTGCACTTGGCTGCATCCGTTGTGCAGAATTCTTGAATTTTAGGTAAGCTCAATTAAGCTGATTGAATTTATAATCTAACTTTCTTCCTTTGATTTCACAAGGCCTCTCCGTTGTTTTTACGTTCGAGAAGAAATCTGGAACTCATCAGTGTTCTATTAGTCCCTAAGGTATCTGCAAACAATGATCTTTCTGTAGTCGAGAGCACGAAGACAGATCGCGTGACTCTAAAAGAGTGTGTTGGAATGCGTTTTGTAAATTACTTCAGAAGTAGCCAGACGTAAAACAGCTTCTACCTTAGGGTTTGCGGGCACTTGCTTTATAGCAGTCATTTTGATTTTTCCCTTCGAAATGGCCTTACATTAAAGAGATTTACAATCACGTTTACATGTGGTAATATATAGATTTAGCCAGGGCTAAAAGCTATTGACTGGAATTTATAATTTAAATCAAACAATGAACTTGTATTCCACAATTCAGTTAACTTTAGAGCACATTCATGTGGCTTTTGAGGGAAAGGTTAAGTGATTTTAGAGAAAAATAATTTGCAAACAGTCCAGCTAAGAGTGAACTTAATCTTACATCGAGTAGATAGCCTTATAGTGTACACCCAAAAAATAGCAATCATCTTTGATCACATTTGAGAGCGATAAAGGCTCTTGATCTCAGTAGATTAGGCCTGGAAAACAAATCAGGCCGAATTTTTTGTTTACTTTACAAAATCTTGCCAACAAGTCTGGGACGTGTAAACCAACCTTTTATACTTTTTATACATCCCATCTGAGGTGAAACGGTACCATGAGGCATAGGCGTACGGGCTATTTTTTGTCAGGGGGGGCGGTAAACCATTTGCCCAAAACAGCCGAACAGAAATTAGGGCAGATGCAACAACATAGGCCGTACTGGCATATGAAAATGGCTCGATACAGTTTTTCACGGTCAATACCTGCCAAGTTTGAGCATAAACTACGTCGCCATAAACAAACATTTGTAAAAATTGCCACCACAGTTGTATTAGATAAATATGAAATTTGTTGTGATCAGGGTTGCAATGACATCAGAGTTGTCATAGCAACGAAATAAAGGCATTACCTATTACACTTGCAGCAATATTTCTCTGTGAGAACTGTTCTTCTAAAATCGGTCACAGGAGCTTTTTCCTCCCATAGACGCCTCAATGTTCGTGAAGTTAAAACGGAATCTGTAAGAGCGTTATCGAGTCATTTTGGGATAAAGTTTTTTATTGTTGGAAATACGGTACAAAAAAGGAAAATCCTGATGTTTGGCCGTTATCTGTAGAAAACGATGCGCTTTTGACATGCAATTTCACCTCATAGTAGTTTCAATCTTTTTAAAAACGTGGGTGAAAGATCATGGAGATAGCTTCAGCCAATTGCTACAAGGAAGGATTTGATTAGTATGTAGCATGGCGCTCTTGTTAGCGGTTTTTTAAACATTTCAGTCTACTGCTAGCTGTAACAAATTAGTGAATAATTTTTAAACCGCTCAATAGAGTTTTTTGAAAAAATTAAGATTCTTCTCGCATTTCAAACTGTGAATTAGTCAGCCACTTCTTCAGTTTTGGACCCATTGCTGATGCTATCTGCCATACACTGTTCTACGAGCGGAGATGATTCTAGAAAGTTAGGCGGAAGTTTATTGTAATAAATTCACAAGTGGAAATAGCCCATTGCAGTACAGTGCCCAACAATAAAAAAAATCAGTATATGATACCTCTCCCTTATAGCCAGAAACTTGTCACCTGCTAGGCCCCCACTGGATTATAACGCCGACTTCAGGTTAAAATAGAAAATATTTATCTCTTCAAAATAATAATAAAAACATAGGGACGTCTTTAAAAACTGGCTTTGCCCAAATTTTCCCGTGTTGCCCAAAAAGTCTGAGTTGCCCAAAATTTGGGGGGGCTGCAGCCCCCCTCGCCCCCCCGGCCCGTACACCTATGCCATGAGGTGCTGTTTTTATCATACAGACCTCGGACAGAATGCAGTATTTCACGATTTTGCGATACAAATATTGCACTCATTCAATATTCAGGACGATCGAAGCACGCGTGGGCTTTTAGCAAAACCGTTAAAAAAATTTCCAGAATCACCTATACGGCTAGCCGGCTGTCACTTAACAAGCTCCAAAGTTGACTGTTTAAATTAAGATTAATAGAGTTGTACACTTTTAACAAGCGCCAAATTTGACTGTTTAAATTAAGATTAATAGAGTTGTACACTTCAACATAATTAAGAATTTATTATGTTTATTTTTTATTTAATGGTTTTACAACGATGTGTAATCTTCAAAAGCATTTGATACACGCAGCATTTTGACTACTGCAAGCGCCAAAGTTGACTGTTTAAATTAAGATTAATAGAGTTGTACACTTCAACATAATTAAGAATTTATTATGTTTATTTTTTATTTAATGGTTTTACAACGATGTGTAATCTTCAATAGCGTTTGATACGCGCAGCATTTTGACTACTGCATGCAAGCGATGTTTATGAGCGACTGATGACAAACGGCACAGCGATTAACATTGCAACAGAGACTACTAACAATCAATAAAAGGAAAATAATTCGGTGAAACATATACAGAGACAACAATTTTCATTCACGAAGACAAGTATTAAAGTGTCTCTGAAAATCCTTGTTTATGTTTTAAGCCGGCTTTCCGGTTATTGCTTTCTTCAAAGATGAACTCGAGGCAAGAAAATCGCTCAAAGCTTTCTTTTACAGCCAGAATTATAACTAAATATTCTTTGGAACGTCTTCTTTCTATTTGTGGTGGGAAAATGTCTAAAGGCTTTTTAAAGTTCTTAATAAGCTTATAATCAAACCTGATACTCGGTTCGATCATTGTCTCAAATCTTACAAACGTGCATAAACTAAACAGCCAAATAAACTACGCTCGACTTCATTAAATTAGATATAAAAAACAAACATCAAATACAACAATTTTCCTAAGCTTACCATTCGAGATGCGCTGAAAGCTACCAAGTAAGGCCAGAATCACTTCAGACTTTTCAACCCTCTTACGCATCAAGCAAGGTGAAAAACGAAAACGATGCCATCCGAAATCGGATTTTGGACTTTGACAATCAACGTATTTCTCAACCAAAAACCCAATAAACAAACTAGCCATGAATAACAGAAGACTCTTGATAGCAGCTGAATTTCATTTCGTACATTCAGTGGAAAAAGACAGTTAAAAACAATCATCATAAGTTGACACAAAACTCTGTCAGCTTCAGCTGTCAAAGTAAACAAGTTTCAAGATGCTGCATAAATTTTCCGCATGAACTCACCTGTCAAATTTTGACCAATCTGAGCATAAAAATTTGGACGTAGAGCGTGACCAACGCATGACCTTGGTGAGAAAAGTCAAAAGCAACTGGCATGTCTTCCCTGCCTGTAAAAACTGGCTGAATTTTAGCTTCCGAGGTCAGTTTTAAATCAAAATTTTAATTATGCAGTGCATATAAAACCGCATATTTCATATGCATTAAAAAAAATTAATCCTGAGCCTGCGATCAGTTGAAAACTAGTAACTTGTCAGCGGATAACTTCAAAAAGATACTAGACCCAAGATGGGTCGACACCTGAGCCCGCGATACGGTCAGATGATACTGGTCAGTGGATACCCTCTTTTGACAGCTGTCAATTGATCACAACATTGATCTGCAATATGTGTGCAATATCAGTCTTCCTGTGCTCCCAAACTGGCTAGAAAGTGTGAGATTGAACATTGGTTTCCCTGTGGTTCGGACGGACGGGCGGGCGGTGTACGGTCACGTGATTACCAAATTTTCTGGGATGGGTAGATTTACTTACCCATGGTGCTCTGCAGGCGCGCTTCGCGCGCTAGAGCTCCGCGATAATGGATTACGTCCTTGAAAAACGTACTGTAGTCGATTAATAAAGGTAAATCAATACATTTAGCTGTCAGTAAGCTGTATATTAGACTGTATGATTGTAATCCGCGATCAAAGTTCGCCTGAAAGTCTTGCAAAAACCACAGCACACCTTGCTTAGCTTCCTTAACAACATAGAACTTTATCACAGTACAGAGTAACTGTTGAATGTAAATCGTTAATGGAACAGACAAATATTATTCACAATTATTAAGATTAAGCAGACACCCTCTATAAGTGGACACCTGGCTATGGGAAGGTCCTGAAGGTGTCTGATTAATAGAGGTTTCACTGTAATTTTGTTTCCCTTGAATCGTGAAACAAGATAACCTGTTTCCCTTTGGACCAGTCATTAAGTGTTTAATGTTTTCCACTACTCAGCCATACTCTAGCTTGGTTTTCATAGAAACATTTCCCATGGAAACACGCCTAGTTAATGGGGCTAATGGATTAACTGTGAGCATTTGTCCGTGAACTTTTGCATCTTTCACTTCTAAAATGGCTTTTTCCTTTACAAAGTTTGTATTGTAATAGCTCCCTTACCACAAAAAACCAGAAAAATACTAGCCATGAAATATGACCCACTTTCTGATGCAGCCACCGCATAAACTGGCCAATCACCCCTAGAAACTGTACTGAAAATTGCTGGGTGTGGTCATGTACAATCGGTGTGAAGTAAAAGAATATGACATTTCATCACAGATACATGCTCTAAGTTGAACCCATTCACCTGTGGAAATCTTTAAGGAATGTGGATCTGTAATGTGTGGTTGTGGGTGGCTGGTTCAGTTGTGAATGTGTTAATGCTGCAAAATCCCATGGCCTGTTGGAGGACCTATCAATGGATTCCTCTATTATAAACTAAAATTAATTGCAGAATCGTGGGCTCATTCAAATACAACTAATAAATTACTCATTTCCTCAAAAAAGCACCCAGATGCTTGTTAAAAATTTCTGCTCAAGGAGGGGGCACTTATTGGTCACTCAAATTAAGTTTTCCATTTAATGAATTGTAACTTTATTTTAGCTACATTTTTAATAGAAATTAAGGTAAATTACATTATCCATATACTGTAAATCCTCTATTAGCCTCCTCTCTAATATCCCCCTCCTTTTTCAGGGGAAGAGACCCCCTCTCTTTTAAGCCCCCTCGCCCGTCAACCTTACTATTCTTCACAAATAAATCAATCACTGTAAAATGTCATTTGGACTGATCTGGGATAGTATAATTATTTTTTTTTTACCCTTGGCACTTCATGGCCTTCTGATCCAGATGCAAAATATTCAGCTTGCTAAGTTCAGGCATGCACAGAAAGCAAAATTTGGAGATTTTGGGGTTTAAAAGTGACACAGCAGTCTTGACTGTACTTTTACTTTTCTTTTTCTCTCCTCTCCTCTTTTTTTGCTTTTCTTGCCTCATTTTTTCTTTCTCTTGCTGGGCATTTATTGGGCTTCATTTTGGTGGCAAAGGTTGTTAGGAAAACTTTTAGGATCATAGGATTAGATAAAAGGAAAGGTAGGTGGGTAGTGGAACAAAGTTTTCATGGACATTTTCAGGTCAATGTTACATGGTTTTTTGCCTTTTTCTCTGGTGTCCTTGACTGAATTGTGCTCATTCTGGTATGGTGTGATCTCTTCACTCTGCACAAGTTGGCTGACAAAGTTGTCCTTGACTGGTAAAACGGATGATGTCAAAAGCGGTAGAAAGCATGTGGACTGGCATGGTCGGCTACAGGCGGCTCAGGGGTGAATGGGTTAAGCTTTTCCATTTATAGAGGATTTATGGTAAACATTTAGTCAATATTATTGCCATTCATCTGTTAAAACAGTGGTTTGTAATTAAGTGACAGTCCATATAGGCTCATTACACACGTTTACACGTGTAAATGGTTTGCATGTTTATTATCTCATTATAGTCATCTTGAATAATTATTGATTCTCATAAAGAGAAGTGGATGTAGAAACATGTTTTCTTGTATCCCTACATTAAGAAAGTGAAGGGGGGCGGGGGGGGGGAAAGGTGGGGCTTATTCAAGAGTGGCGCTTATTTGATATTATGGCCTTCAAGGTGGGCACCTTTTTTAGGGAGGCCGCTTATCAGAGCATGAGCTGCAGTAATTGCTTAAAATGTGGCAAAGTGAATATCAAAGTCCTGCACATGATACAAGCCTGAAGCTACAAACCGTAACTGAATTAAAGTAACTCAAGGAAGGTGTTAAAAATACAAATGGAAAAAGGATTATCACTTTATTTTTCCCTGTCAAAATCCTGTAGACTGTCACATTTGCAAAGCGCACGAATTAAATGCTCTGCTACAGTATATGTATGTTACATGTATGTCTTTGCTGGGCTTGGGGGGAGGTTTACGAATGACCGTACCATCACCAGTTCAAAAGTAATGTGTAATAAAAATTATACGTAACTGGATATCTGCCCTTTGTCTTGACACATTGCCCTTGATTTTATTATGAAGGTTCCTGCTACCAGTCAGTTCAAATCTTATGATGTGTGGGTTTCAGAGATCAAGCATCCATGTACCAAGCTTTGGTAAGACATTTTGCATTATTTCATACTTTGCCACAATTATCACAGTTTTATTAGTGCAGAAAAATGTATAGTCTTATAATATCTGTTATGGACTAGCGTCTCAACGAGGCGAGCGCATGATAAAGAAGCATGTTTTTAATGAGTCCCAGATGTGTGATGTAATACACTACATAACATCTTCCTTCCAAGAAAAGGGATGCATTCGTAGTTAACTTCTGAAAACTAGCAAAACTTTCGGCAAAAAGGATTCTTGGGATGAATCAAATGTTCTTTGAACTTCAAATGTTCCTTTGAACTTGCACTGAAAAAAAAAAAAAAAGAACAAAACGAAGTGTAACTTGATAAGTCAGTCCTATTCTTAAAGTTCTCACTGAACAAAGTCCTTAAACAGGTTGTTGGGCTTGACAATAAATTCATCCAGATCTGGTCTGGGTCACGTTGCTGCTAGCTGGAGGTGTCACAGTATTGCTCGACGTAGGTGTTGCTGGGACTTTCCTGAGTAATGGCTGATTGCTAGCTGGGTCGTGATCATTGTTAGCAGGTTTGTTCTCAAACAGACCTGGGGTCTGAGCCGGGTCAGGTTCTTGAACAGGCAGACTGTCTGTCTGGGACTGGACAGCATCACGTAGGTGGACACTGTGTCTGCAATAGGTATGTCCATTCACTTCCACCAGGTAACTCCAAGGGGCTAAATTCTCTAGGATAACTCCAGGCTTCCAATCGCTGTGGGGTTGTTGAGGTTGTGCCTTGACTTGGACTGGCTGTCCAATTACTAGACTATAGGTAGCTGTTTGGCACTTTGGTCATGGTAGTGCGTCCTTGGCGAGTTGTCTCTTGCACATCACTTGAGCTGTTACAGCAGACTGGACTTCAGGCTTGTACAGTGATTCCTTGCACAGGTTAGTCTCTTCAACTTCTTTGCAAAAACTCTCTTCTCGGCTGACTTGAAAAATCAGGAACTCAGGTGAGTCTGGTTTGGCATGACGCAAGGGGAGAGCAACTCTGGAGAGAGTGTCTCTTATGAACATTTGAGGGCCAGGCTTGTACGATACCTTTAGTGGGTACTTCTGTAGTCAGAGTCTCATCCTTTGAAGGCATTTGGGGCTTGTGAGGATTGGTTTTGAAAAGATTGTCATAAGAGGACAGTGTCTTGGACAGTGTCTTTTCCCAGAATTTAATGCTCAAATCATTTAGCAACAAAGACAATTGCTAAACATTGTTTTTCGATCTGCGGATAGTTTCTTTCTGTCTGAGTTAGTGCATGAGAATCATAAGCAACTGGTTGTCCATCCTGGGTGAGGACAGCACCAAGGCCGACGTCAGAGCTGTCGCACTTGATGGTGACTTCTTTGCTGACATCAAAATAACGCAAAACAGGTGCTTGAGTGATTAGTTCCTTAATGCTGACAAAGGCATCTTCATGTTGAGGTAACCAATCAAAGACGGAATTGCTTTCTTTTAGGTGAAGGAGGGGTTCGCATATGGTGCTGAGCTGTGGTACGAACTTGGAAAGGTAGGTAACTACTCCTATCAGCCTTTGAACTCCATGTATGTCTGTTGGACGGGGCATGTTCTGTATGGCTTGGATCTTCTCTAGGTCAGGTTGAAGACCTTCTGATCCTAGTATGTAGCCCATGTAGGCTACTTTGCTGAGCTTGAAGCGTAATTTCTTTTTGTTCAGCTTAGCTTGGGTGCGATATCCTCCACAGTGGGCATGGTTTCTGGCAATGTCTTTATTTAAATGTAGAGGGTCTTGAGACACAGTCTGAGTTTGTTCAGCTTTCTCACTGCAACCATATTATTGATCCAGGGGTTGGTTTTGTAACTTTTGCAATAACGCCCAAGGTCTCGAGCTCTTCAATCTTGGTTCTAAGCTCATCTTTAACTGGAATAGGCACGCGTCTTGGATTTTCTTGAACGGGCTTGACATTAGGGTCCAAATCTACATGATAAGTACCAGGTAGCTTGCCAAGACCAGTAAAAACATCACGATTGTTATGAAGGATTTTGTCTTGAGTTAGTGACTCATCGCTAGTAAGGTCAACATGCAGGATACATTCTTCATTGAAGTGAATAAGCTTCAGGGCTTCAGAGGCTCTTCCTGAAAGTAGAGAAGTGGATGCATATTCAACAAGTGGACTTTCTTTCTCACACCATTAGCTGTACAGTAGAGTTTCGTGCTACCTATGGGTTGTATCAGGGACTGATCATACAACTTGAACTTGACATTGGACTTTTCCGGCATTTCGTAAGTGATTTTCTTGTAATCCTTTAAAGTGATGGTGCTACACGAGGCTCCTGTGTCAACCTGAAATTTGATTGGAATGTTGTTTTCGGTTTTGTTCACTGTCACGAGAATTTCTGTAATGTACTGCTTCCTTTGTCTAGGAGATTGCAGGGAGTAGATGCTTTCGTTGCCTGTCAGGTTCATCTGATGCACCATTTTCATTCAACTAATTTACTCGCTGGTGCTCATCTTTAGATTTCTTCTTTGGTTTCTCATTACTGTGTTTGGGGGTGGGGTGAAAGACTTTTGCAAGATGATTTTTTTGTTGCATTTAAATTAGTGAATGTTTTGCCAAAGGCTGGGCAGTTTCCAGCTGTGTGGGAGTCTCTGCAATATTTGCAGTTTTTGATCTTGCGTGGATTCTTGCGTGGATCCGCATGGCGGGTGCGAGTTTCGTTCCCGTGGACAAGATGAACAGTGTCAGTTTGTTCCATTTTGAGTCGTTGACTTGCTGCCATTTCATTTGTACGACAAATATCGATGGCTTTTTGAAGAGTAAGTGTACTTTTCCGTAGGAGACATTCGCGGTGTTCATGATCTCGCAAACCAGTGATGACGCGGTCACGAAGCATTTCATCTTCAAATGTACCGAACTGGCACGTAGCCACAAATTTGCGAGTTCAGTCAAGAACTGATCAAAGCTTTCACCAGGTTTCTGAGAATGACAGTTGAATACATACCATTCATAAATTGTATTAAAATTTTGTTTAGGCACAAAATATTCGTCAAGCTTTGTGAGGATAACATCAGCATCTTGTCTTTCTTCTTCGGTCATAGGGAGATTTCTGCAGACATGAAGGCATTCTTTACCCATGATCGATAATAATGTGCTGCGACTATTTTCTTGTCTTTCTGATCCAGTTTGGTAGCAGTAGCATAATTCTTCCAGCTGTCTTTGAAGAATTCCCAATTTGAGGCTTGATCTCCTATCATATACATTTTTGACGGCAGAGGGATCATGAATTGAGACATGTTTTTAATTTACACATACAGTGGTAAACAGTTCTGACTTCAAAGTGGTGTGAGCGTGAATTCGTCGGTGATGAGGTCTTCACAGCGTATTTGTGTGATACCTTTGGTGAATGTCTTGATTTTCAGTGCCTATTTGCTTTGGCTTGAGCGATGTTCGGCTGAAAATCCCTCTTCAAGACACCATATTATGGACTAGCGTCTTAACAAGGCGAGCACATGGTAAACAAGCATGTTTTTAATGAGTCCCAGATGTGTGATGTAATACACTACATAACAATATCAGAATTCCCTGGAGTGGTGGGGGTAGGGGTGATACTCCTTCAGATCTTCATCCTGTTTAAGATTAGAAACCTCATTTCATGACTATGATTTGACATTAGGAAAAAAAAAAAAAAAACATATGGTACCACACATGTAGGCCTGGCATGGAACCTAAATTAGTGAAATTGTATTTCCTGTTACAAGTTAAGACCCCCGAAATCTGCCCTACCCTTTTTGGTGGCACATACTAGTGTAAACTAAATAAGGGACTGCCCAACCCCTGGGGGTACACCTTGGTATCATCCAGACAGCAGAGTCCAGGATTCCCTTCCTTCTGTCAGCATACCCCTGGGATAAATACTCATGCAGGATAGCATAATTAATGCTAAAGAGGTTGGGAAATTTTGAGACTAGGGATGCTTTCCATTCAGCCAAAAATTCCAGAAGTTTCGGAGGAAATCAAATGGACTTGACCATTTTAGTTTGGCCTGGTCAGAATATTAAGGTGGTCCCTTATGACTGGTCCTGCTTGTTGGACTGAAATGTCCCTTTCCATTTTACAAATTTGTTGTCTCCACTTCTGTTTTTTTGTATTCTGGTTACAACATGACAGTACAACAACCAAATGTGTGGTGGCTTTGGTTGGATCTGTAAAACTGGAGTGTACTCTTTCATTGGGCACATAGAATTTACGAAATTTCAAATTGAAATATATATATTATTTGTTGAATGGAAGGTGCCCCAGATACAGAGTATGATTGGTAATTGGTGTTTATCTGCAGTGTCTTGGGTTGGCAAGAGGTTTTAATTATATCCAAAATTCTCAAAAATACACCATTAAAAGGAATCATATTGTTTATTTACTTAAGTAATAAGAGTTACACCAGTCCAAAGTGCCACTTATCAATTCATTTTTATCTAAATGTAAAGTTATGTACCTCATTGCTGTTATCTACCCCAAAACGCAGACCTCATAGCTGTAATTATAACAAAGAAAGACAACAGTATATCTATTTTTGTTTTGGGGCAAAATTTGCTCTAGTTTGATTCATAATTTCCTTTGTTCTTAGCTCTAATATTTAAGGAGACTGTTCTGGTTTAACATGAGAACAGATTTTATCTATAACTTTTTCAGATTTGGCTTAATTTGCCTGTATTTGGACTGAAATGAAGGATGTTGAATACAATAATGCATGTGAATTACCCAATTGATTCCTAGAGAGAAAGAGCAGACTGGACTATTCCCAAAATTAAACTCCCACAAAATTTTAGTGTTAAATTGCACTAGATAACATTGCACCAATATTTACAGTGTGCATGCACTTTTTTAATTTTTCTATTGTAGTGTTCATGTCTGCAGTGTTAAAGGATTTTTAGGATTCCTGTGATGTCCAGGCTGAAGGAGGTAAGTTGGAAAATTGATCATCTGTTAGTTGTGAATAGTGTTTGTCTAGTCAATCTCAAGTTGTAAGATTAGATTTGAGGTTTTGAGAAGGTTTTCGAAATGTTGGTGGAGGGATGGTGATGACATCAGACTCTAGATCAGGGGTGGGGGGGGGGGGTCGGATTTAAGCCCTCCCTGTTCAATCACTTGATTTTCTCTGACGAGAAACGTTTTTTTACATTACACCCCCCCCCGGCCCAACACACACAAAGGTCCTTTTTTGTGTTAAGTAGAAACATACTGGTGGGCAATGCTGTGATGGACTAGCATTCCATCCAGGGAGGGGTGGTAGGGTGGTGGGTGAAGTTGTAATATTCACTCCATGGTGCTTCCAGCCAAGATAAGCTCTCACTGTGCAGGCCCTCTGGCTTGTTTTAAATACCTCTTCCATCCATGGAGGGAGGGGGTGGAGTTGTAATAATTATTTATTTCTTGGTGCTTCATGCTTCCCTGCTGTGCAGGCCCTCTGGCTTGTATAAGTACCTCTTTTGGAATGTTGAGTTAGTGAACCACAAAGGTCAATGATCTATGATCCTTACCTCTCAGCAGTTATAAAAAAGTTAGTAAAGTACTTCATTTCAGCCAAATTTACCCAAAAAACAATGCTTGAGTCTCCTAACTTACATGTAATTCCGGTTTGTATGAACTTATTAAGGCGTCTTTTAAGGAAATCCTTTAGTAAATTTATAATGTTACTTTTCTTTTAGGATTTGTCATCCTTTCCAAGCACAGCCTCCGCATCACAGGAAGACCATGAAAACAATTCAGGATCCACGACCTCCAGGAAATTGAAAGTTACTCTGTTAAGCAGTGAATGGAGATCAACAAAAGGAGGCTTGTCGACCATCAACCGAGAGCTGGCCATTCAGTTGGCGAAACACCCCAGCGTGGAGGTCAGTGTTTATCTCCCTCAGTGCAGCGAAGAGGATAAACGAGTCTCTGCAAGTCACAATGTACAGCTTATTGAAGCAGAAGAAATGCCAGGTTTAGAACCAGCTCTCTGGTTATCTTGTCTGCCGGAAGACCATTCTGTGGACTGTGTGATAGGACATGGAGCCGTTTTTGGTCGGCAAGTGCAGATTATAAAACGACATCATCATTGCAAGTGGATTCAGGTCGTTCATACAGCTCCTGAAGAGCTTGGTATGTACAAGTCCTACGCAGATGCCATTTCAAGAGGCGAGAAAAAGCACCAGGCTGAGGTAAAACTCTGTGAAAAGGCTGATCAAGTACTAGCAGTTGGACCCAAGCTGGCTGAAGCTTTCTCAGGTTATCTCCGTGCATGTGGAAAGGATCGAGATGTTCTTAATCTTACCCCAGGCATCTTCTCTGAGTTCGCTGATGTAAAGCAAGCCACTGAAGAAAGAAGAACATTCAGTGTTTTAGTGTTTGGACGTGGTGACAATGAAGACTTTCAGCTGAAAGGATATGACATCGCTGCTCGTGCTATTGCCAAGTTGAAAGATGAGCCACAGCCCTATAAGCTGTTGTTTGTTGGAGCTCCAAGTGGAGAAGAGGAGAAAGTTGCAGATTTGCTACTGGAGCAAGGCATTGATCGCAGTCAACTAACTGTGCGTTGTTTTGATGAAAGCAGAGAGCAGTTAGCTCGGTTGTTTTGTGAAGTGGATCTTGCTATAATGCCATCACGAACTGAGGGATTTGGTCTAGCCGCCCTTGAGGCTTTATCTGCTGGTCTGCCTGTGCTGGTCAGTGAGAACTCTGGTCTTGGTGAGGCTTTGAAAAAAGTTTCGTTTGGTTCATACTGTGTAGTGAAGTCGGAAAATCCTGAAGCTTGGGCCAGTGCAATCAGAATTATCCGTGAAAAAGACAGAGAGATGCGACTTGACGAGAGTAAAACCCTACGTGAAAAATATGCTATAAAGCACAACTGGCAGGATCACTGTAATAGACTCATTGAAATAATACGAAACATCTCTCAAGGTAAAGAAAGCACACTGTCGTAAGTAAGGTCTCTGTGTTGTTATACCCACATTTATTAACAGGTTTGATAGCTGTATCTTATGCAAGGTAGGGAGACACAAGTGCATGGTTGTCTTGTAGGAAGAAGTGACAGTAAATGGACAGTGACAAAAAAACGTACCATGCACAGAGTTTAATATATCTGGGGACATGTTAAAAGTTGTGTAGTGTTGGTTTATTTCGTGCATCAAAACAAAGAGTTACGGCCGCCTTTGATTGGCTCAACAACTGATTTCAAATTTCGTGCCTCATGAAGGTTCGCAGAGCCCGTGCATCAATCTGCCCTAGGCAGGTGGTACCGATTAAAGTGATTTTTTAAATGCCATTCTGTTCAAGCAAAAGCAGTGATGTGATTTTTTTTCATAAACGTGTCTTGCCATGGATTTTACCCTAGTGATAAGAGCAAATCTACTTTCAATCCGTTCAATTGTTCTCCAGTGCTTTCAGGGAATCTACATCAAACAGTTTAAATAAGAATAAAAAAAAATGATTAGTTTTAATATTTATTATTTTTAGAAAATAGTTCATCGAATGAGTAGGATTCATCCGTGACAGCTACTGGGAATATTCAACCCTCTGGAAACCTTCATGTTCTGAGAAACTTTCTCAAAAAAGTATACAGTAATAACCCGCTATTATTAATCTAGTTTTTAAGGAGCAGTTAGGCTAAAATGTGCCAGTTATAGTGTAGACCCCGTCTACACAAGAATCTTATTAGCCTAAGATTTGAAACAGGTTCTTATCTATTGAAATCAAGTCGTGTACATGTATGTTCTGAAGAAGGACTTCAAAATTCATGTGATTGCCTTTGGTGCTTCAGCTTTTCTTAAATGTACTGTAGACACCTTCACATTTTTACTTAAAACTCGCTATGCAGATTTATACAAAAGGAAGAAGGTGTACACCACTTAATTTTATTAGCTAAAATGTTTTCTTTTTCTTCAGTATTTAAGAACCTATTCAGTAAGATAGCTAAATTTTTCTTATAATTACCATTTATGTTTGAAACTCTTTAGGCTAATTTAGGTAAATTTAGGTCCTTGTTCTCAGGATATTACTGAAGTTTTGAATCTTAAATAATGACTTTAGTTACTTTCTTAAGAGAAAAAGTTTGTTAATGCAGTTTTGCATCCTTGTATCAAACTACTCTTTCCAACTTTAATATTGCATTGTTACTACTTTGCTAGACCGTGTTAGGAAGAAAGGAAGCAATTGGTATTACTTGTAATCAACAAGTTTGTCTTAGTATGGCGAATGGTTTAAAAGGCTCCTCATTCTAAAAAGTCATCTTATGCTGTACAATTAACAAATCGAGAACAATTTTCTTATAGACCATAGATCGACATAAAAGTGATATCAAAATGTTCAAACTTATGTCGTTTGGCGTGTGGTTTTACTGCAAAGTTAAGAACATTTTGACTTCATTTCTTTGCTTTATAAGAGTACAGACCATGGAAAATTGTTTTCGAGTTGTTTTTTACAATAACATGAACAGTTTCAGGCGTCATGTTATATCCATGATCTATACTCTCATCGACTCTAGCTCTTGACCAGTAGGTGGAATCGCTCAGTTATTGTCAAAAAGGGCGTTTACTCAATGGAAAAAAACTGAACAAAATGAAATAATACAATTTCAGGTTCATCAGAGGGAGTTCAACCTATGAAAAAAGGTAAAAGGCCATTACCTCCAAGTGGTGTCCCAGATCCAAAGCAACCAAGACTTCCAAGAGATGAAGGTAAAGCTTGCGTTTGCTACCCGTATAGCTTGAGTCATTTAAGCTTGACCAAAACATTGAGCTCTCTGCCGACCCTGAGTTTTATGCTTTCTCGATTGGAGGCTTACAAAACAGAGAAAGGCAAATTTTACAAAGTCACGCCAAAACCATCAGCCTATAGATCGCAGAACGTGTTTACACGAACAAATCTTGCTATATATATTACAAATATCTAACTACTTAGTCAACTTATTACGTTCAATACAAGAATTAAGAAACAGTAAGAAAGCCTGCTTTACAAGGAAGCTGTGTATAAAACATAGTTAAAAAATTATAAAGTATCACTGCCAACTTTTAAAGTTTTAACTTAGATTTGAATTCATCAAGTCATTGATGGCGTTTTCTGATCTCCAGAGGAAAGCTGTCCCACAGCACCGGTCGACTGTAGGAAAGACTGCGTTAGCGATAATCAGAGCGTGGCTGAGGAAGGGCAAGCCCATGGTCACTCTGTCTCAAGTGGTAAGTTAGAGAAACAAGAAGACGTACAAAACGCCAAACTCAGATATGCAGGAACCGTGTCATTCACAATATACAGTACATCAAAATTACTTTACTGACCAAGCGCTGGTAGTCAAGTTTCGGCCAATTTAACTTCTGAAACAGTCAGCAGTGCAATAATGGTAAAAAACTGCAGAATCACTGATGTGGCACGCGTTTTAACTTTTTCTAATTATTAGAAAAAGTTAAAACGCTTGCCGCATCAGTGATTCTGCAATTTTGAAGAAAGGCTCGTAAGGCCTGTGGAGGTGGGGGACGCCAGATAGGTGAGGTAACATTTGGTGGGTCACCCCACCTATCATGCAAACGTGATCAAATTAAGATGAGAGATTATATGGACAGGCGGGTTACCCCACCTAAGCGGGTTACTTCACCCACCTGGGGTCCCCTAGGTGCTAAGAACAGATACCTCATATCACGGAAAAGTAATCAAAATTGGACTGTTCTTATGAATTGTCCAAGGTGCCGTGATTGGATCTCGAGACAGAGAGAAAATGCCTAATACGTTTGAGAAACGATTAATTTTGACATTGAGCTCGTTTGATAGCTTGACAATTGTTGCCTAGAAGAACCAAACAGAAATTCAGTCGGTCATATGCAATATTGGTTTGCTCGCTACAAGCCACTAACGAATTCTCTCCAGAACCCTAGCTAATACAAAAAGAATATTCTAAAAACTAAGACTTCTAAAGAATATGTTAAAAAAGCTAAGAAACAGCTAAGCTGAGGGTGTGTTCAAAACAAAGACTAATAACCTAAAAATTAAAACTAATATACTTAGAAAGTGAAACTAGTTTACTCAATACGTACACTCAAAAAATTAATCAAAAAGAAAAGTTTTAAAATTGCTCTTAAACTGAAACAATGAAGCTGTGCTCGAATGTTGTATATTAAAAGGAAAAACGTTTAAAATCTTCGGGGCCCAGATATTGAGGGCAGAACCCATTTTTATACGAGCTTCATGCACAAAAAAAAGCTTAAACACAATCCGATACGAGACCAGCAAGCAATGGAGTTCTGTTCTAATAGTGTGGGGGGTGATGTGCTCATATTTCTTCTTACCAGTGACAAAACTAGCAGCACTGTCCTGAATTAGATAGATAGGTTTATTAAAATAACGAAATTACAGCCGCAGGCTGAATTGCTTAATTATTTCCCCCACTATAAAAGGTATAAACATTTTGGTAAAAGACTAATTACAATTTTGTTGATTAGGAATGATGACAGTAAAATACTGAAAAAGCAAAGAAAAATAACGTATCCGACTCATTAAACTTTATCAAAACATTCAGCTGTTTGCTATCCCTGAGTTTTCTGCTTTCTCGACTGGAGGCTTACAAAACAGAGAAAGGAAAATTTATCAAAATCACACCAAAACCGTCAGCTTATGGATCGCAGAACGTGTTCACACGAACAGTTTGGTCGAAATTGATAAGTTACCTGAGTGAAAACAGTTCTTACAGGTTTTATTGAACTTTTTGAAGCTTTCTGTGTGGATAAAAGTCCCAAGGTATTTATTGGAAAATATACTAAAGCGCGAAGTGATCGAGGAGCCTCAGACATGCAAACGTTCAGTTTTAAAACACGGCGCTGATCCAGAAAAGGAGTCCAACGTTTTGTCGAGTTACTTTACAAAAATATACTAAAAAATTAAGAGCGGCTCTGAAAGGCAAATTACTTTAAACGTGTTTTATTATATCTAATCACTTCAATTTTTTCAAAAAAAAAAGACACGTTTTGTTAAAATAACAGCAACCCGGAAATGATCGGTATATAACGCAGTTATCTCCGCGCACTTGGCTGTTCCACTAATTATAAAGCACAATAAACACTGGTAATATCGTGATTAGGGACCATTAGAAGTTGGGGGAAGAATTGTAATACCCCTCCCCTACAAAAAATTCAATGACCACCAGTGCAATGACTCCCCCTTAAGTGTTTCAACCAGTGATTGACAAGCTAGTAGGGAATGTGGAAAAACGAGATAAAGGTCTCTTGTCAATCATAAGTCATAGGCGCGTTTATTATTGTATTTTCACTGTACTTTTCCAAAATACCTCGACCAAAGGTTGGACTCAGGTTGGACTCTTTTTTTATGGAGTACCGTTATTACAATAAAAACTGACCTTTTGGGCCTCCGACGCTCCTCGCTCGCTTAAAAAGCGCAAAAAAAAAAAAACCAAACAAACAAACAAAAAAAAAACAAAAAAAATTGAAAACATAAAAAAAATCGATCCTCGACATGTCACTCTCTACCATCGACACCTCGACCGAACGTCGGACTCGCAAAGAATTATCCAAATTTATCACATCGCTTCAATATTTACTCAATTTTGCGCCTTCGTTAGGCAACTTAAAATATTTCAGTGGACAAGAAAATCGGGCATTTTATAGTACACTGATCAATTGCAGCACTGAGACTTTTTCCAGAAAATCTATCGTTGAATTTTGGTTTAATCACTGTTTTCCTGGAAGTAGCCTTACAAATTACAAAAAAAGCTCAGCACTGCGTTTTACCCCAATTCACATGTTTTCGAAATCGCGCACTTAGTCTTCTTGTGTTTCTTCTTAGCCGATTGTAGAGTGCATAAGGGTCATTTGCAAAACGAATGAGCGATAAATTCTTTCCAGAAACATGCATAAAGTAGCAAATTTGTTTGTATAAAGTCCAGTCCTCAGTTCGTGCTCAATTTATATCGTTCGTTTAGAAATTCCAAGATATCTCGAAATTCGTCGCATAGATTTCTATGAAACTTCGCATAACGGAAGCGGCGCAACCTTACGAAACCTTACAAAACTACGGCGGCGACGGCAACGGGAACGTCTAAAACACAATAGGTTTTATGAGCAAAACAATCACGTTAACTCTGCCCGTGCATCATGCTTTTTTGTAAATTTCTTTTTCGTTCCTGAACAACTACAACGTGAAATGACCAAATGTTGAGTTGACTTGAGGGCGGGAACGGCAAGGCGGCAAGTGGTTTTTTGATCTCTCTCTCTCTGAACTCGGACGCGGTCCCCTCTCTTCAGCTCCAACCTAATTTCCCTAATTTCAAGTAACTGGGTGACTTGCTATAACCGCGAGAAAGTTTCGACGGACGCGGCGTCGCCGTTGTCAGATAGTAGGGAGTTTAAGATACTCCGACTACGGACTACGGCTACAGATAAACATGCTACTGCGCATGATCAAAACCACGTGACTGTTCATTTTTCCCTCGTAGTCCTGCGGCTACGGTGAGTTGTTGAGCTGTTTCGCGTAGTCGGGACTACGTAGAACATTTTGCTCGTATTTTGCCGTCTCGGTGATTCAAGAATCTCGTCTTTTCGTCAAAAAGGTTCAATTTGCCTGCTTTAAGTGAGAGGGAAGCGAAATATGTAAGTTGTGTCTAATTTCTGCTCAGATTTACGCTTTTAATCCACCGTTGTGACTACATTTTTATCTAGCTAAGCTCATATTTAAAGAAGCTTAGCTGTTTATACGCAGAATTCCGATTGATGGCCGAGGAGAAGAGAAATCATGCAGGTAATTTACTTTCTCTTCACACTTGAAAAGTTTCAATGTTTGTTCGAACTGATTAGGGTGTCTTTCTACTTGTGTGACCTTTGTTTGTGCGAGTTTTTTTTATCGCATTTGCTGAATGAAAATGATTTAAACATCTTCGAGACAGTCGAAACTGGGCATTTCAATACTTCAAACTACATCCGATCAGTAGTCGGAGAAGTCCATCTGCTAAATCTAATAAATGAGCTATTACTATTTCTGTCTATTTCTTTAATATTTTACATAAGTATTCATGGGCGAAAAAAATAAAACCTGTGCAACCAAAACTTTGTTTACCAATTTCACCCGAGCTACGGTGATGGAACAAGGAGTAAAGTTGTAGGCGAATCAACTTGTACGCGAATCGACTTGTACGTAAATGCTTCCTTCAAGTATGGAAGAATTTGTTCATTGTTCTAAAGACAAGATCACATGCAAAACTGACTTGCATTTTTGTGAACTGTGGTGAAAACAAGAAAATTTTTGCGTGTTGTTTCCCTCTCCGCCTCTTCTCTCGTAGTCTGCCGTCGGTAGTGGAATCTTAACGTTCTATATTTGCACGACTCAACCCAGTGCTACAAACAAACGACAACGCTCGTCCAGCCGTAGTTCGTGGTCCGTAGTCTCCGTATCTTAAACTCCCTAGTAGGGAGCTTTAGCAACGACGACGGCGACGGCAACCAGGACGTCAAAAAAGCAATAGGTTTATTACGCAAAGCAACAACTTTGCACGCGCATCACGCTTTTTGTACATTTCTTTACCGTCCTTGCACGGCTACGACGTGAAAATGCCTAACTGCAAGTTTTATGGAGGACGTAAACAAGCGACGACGAATCTCTTTTTCTCTCTTTAAACTTGAGTGCTGTCCTCAAGAAATCAACTCCAGGGAAATTCGCCTACACTTGCCATTTTCAGCAAATTGGAATAAACGCGACAAAGATTGAAAAAATGGGAATTCATTTTAAAACTGACGTTGTCGCTGCCGTTGCCGTCGTCGATGCTAAAGCTCCCTAGTAAGGTCCTTAGCATGGTCGGTGCTCGACCAATCGACGACTAACAACGGCAAATAGTCGGTCGAATGTCGACCGAAGCATAGCTGAAGCATATAAAGAGTAGAAATTCCTCAGTAGTGAAAGCAAATTGCCTTAGTGAGATAAGGTCAAGACATCGTTCGGAGTAACAGTGAACATGATTTCAGCAAATACTTGAACTTGTACTTGTCTTTTTCTTTGTTTGTTTTTAATTTGACGGCGTTGATAGGTCTCTACGTGCTTAAGTTACTTTTTTGCTGGCGTCGCTCATAACAAAGGCTTGTCTATCTTCACAATAAGTCTCTGGTCGAGCAACTTCTTGTGCATTTGAGTACGCTAGGCCAACCAATTAATTGCACCATCTTCATCCCCCCTGTGTCCTTTTTTGTAAGACTTATTGCGACTATCAGAACTGCAGGTGTATTAAATCTCTCAAACGTCTTTTCCGATTAATGATGCAGAATCACTCCGGCACTAGACTTTCTTGTCCTTTTCTACGGCGTCACAAACTTTTTTGTCCTTCTCGATCGTCAATTGTTGGAAACATCTCCTTTTATTTTGAAATGGATTTTCTTACTTTGACATACAGAACTCTAAAAGGTTTAAATGTTTATATCTTTTTACTCTGGCGCCACAAAATGCTTTATCACCTAATTCACAAAAGCGCCATGCCCAGTAGACTGAACTAAATTTATTTGGAGAAGCTGTAGCTTTTTTTTAGATAATCACGTTGGTTACTTATCTTACGCTAATTTATGCCAATCTGCTCTGCTTTCAACTATAAAAACAATAAGAACAAGCTAAAGTGAAATATTTTTGGATATGTTTCAGCAGAAAATCTTGCCATTCAGATTGACGCCGTTGAACAAGGAGGATCTTCACCATCCCAAAATGTTACTGGGAAGGAAAATGTCGAGGATAGAAGAGGTACTTTTGCACAAGAGGTCCTGGCTCGTATTGCAGATAAGTTTATTCAGAAAATTGACCCCTCAGATGAAGAGGGGTTTAATGGTTTTCTTCAGTATATGGAAAAAGTGCGCCAAACAATAGTCGTTGATGTCAAGACGGGAAGCTTGATAATCACAGTGCGGTGTACCTCACTTCGTATTCTGGACGATCTTTGGAGAGACTATTGCACGGGCCATCTACAAGAAGTGGCGCAGAGGTACCTTGTGACAGAGGACATTCTACAACAATGGGGCCTTGATTCAGTGCAACTAACGTTGACTATTAGTGAAGAGGCGTACAAAGCTTACCGAAAGAACTTTTTGACAAATGAAGGTATGAACACAAAAAACACACTTTCCATTTGCCGTAAACATGATTCTTAATCTCTCCATTCGTACTTGGAAAAAATCTTTTAATGCCTTTTATGCAATCCGCCTACCGTAAACATCACTCCACTGAGACTGTCCTTTTTTCGCCTGAGGACTTCATGTATTCATCGTCGGCAAGATGTTTTTTTGGTAATACTTGATCTGTGAGTCGCACTTTTTGATACCCTAGACCATACTATACTGGTTTTTAATTACTTCGGTTTTTCCACACAGTGCTAACATGGTTTTCGTCTTACCATTTGCACACATTCTGTTATCATAGCAATCGGAGGCTAGGGTTTGGAGTCTCGCAAGGGTCGTTACCAGGACCTCTCTTGTTTACCCTTTATATAGCACCTTTTCAAGCCATAATCTCTGCTCATAACCCGCCTAGACTGTACTATCTATTCACATGATTCTCGACTATACGTTACTGTCGATCCTTTTGATCAACGTCCTACCCTGAACACCATTCAGAAGTGTATCTGTGAAGTTATAAAATGGAACACCAACTATAAGTGCAGTCCTTGTAAAACAGAGGTCATTCAGTTTAGTTCTGGTTCTTCAAGAACCCAGTTTTTTAGTGTTTTCTCTATTGGCAACGCTCTAGTACAACCATCAGGCTGAGTTTATACACTTGGTGTCAACCTAGATAGAGAGCTCAATGCTATACATGTGTTCTCAGGCTAGTCTGCTCGCAGCTTACACTAGGTTGACCCTGTTTCCTGTTTCCTAATGCTCTTTCCATTATCGTGCACATGGTGCAAGTCCTTAGGGGTAGAATGGAAATTGCCTTTGGCTAGATAATTGCTTCTTCCTCCTGCGTTTTACGTTCATCTCTCAGCTGCACTAAAACTACGAGTCTTTTTATTGTTTTTCAGGAATTGTTGAACCAGTTGCAAACACCTCTCTTCCTGATGACCTTCTATCTGTCTCAGATTTAAATGCTATCGACACTGAGGGCGAACAGACCTTACCTACTGACTCCGCGCTGTCAGAATTTTCTCAGGTAGATATAAAAGAAATATGTGAAAAAGTCATAATGCAGCTGGGCTTTTTTGAAAGTTATATGAATGTTTTGTAAAACTATAACAAATAGTACACTTCTTAGTTGGGTTGTTTTTAAAAAAGACTCCTTATCGTTTGTCTTTGTTATTGATCGGGGCGTGAAAACCTCTTAGTAGCACCCTGGTTGCTAGTGACTGGTGCATTTCTAACCTCGCTAATGGCTGGTGGATTTTGTTCCTTAGCATTGTTAGTGTTAGAATCTGTCCCTGGAGCGAAGCTGTGGTGCATTCACGCTTCTGCATTCCCTGTTGATGTTGGTAGGGTGAAGTCGATCTTACGTGGCACGCTAGTCTGTTTTACCCTACGAGAGTGACAATGAGGATGTCTTCCAATAAGCTTAGCCTTGTCGGCTTAAAGAAGATAGTGGCTGTATTTATGTGCGTGATCTACAAACAAGTTTCTAAAAGCCATATGTCTATTTCATGCTGTGACCCTATTGGCTGGATTGACGTGACTTCAGTCATAGCGCGCTGTTTTGAAAGAATTATCATCACTACAGTAAGAAAGTCTTTGAGGAAAATCTGACGGACACCCAGTTTTCGTATAGGGATGGCTGTAGTCGCGCGGACGCCTTAATTCAAATACAGTATAACTATTTAAAAGCACTTGATAATAAGGATTGTAACTATGTCAGCTTTTTGCAATGGATTTTTCAAAAGCCTTTGATAATGTGTAACACTCATTAGTACCTTTATGTCCAGTGATAAGGTGTTTGTGTAAAGAGGGATACCAACAACCAGATGTAAATTACGTTTTTAGATTCAATAGTTCTACCCAAGCTAACTTATTGTTTTACCATATACACCTCCTCAACACCAGAATTAGGTATGGTCATGAATTTTCTACAGCGTAGCTGCTTTAAACGCAAATACACATCTTATCAAATTAACTTATATGACTTCTTAGAAGAAACAGATCGCGCGCTATTTAAGAAGATCTCCAGTGCGCATGCCCGGCCACCCTTTGTATCCTTCCCTCCCCAAAAGAAAAGAAAGTTCTGTGCGCCTCCGAATTCCTAGCAGCCAACTCCCTTGAGTCAATACCCAGCGTTTTAAAAATAGTGTTATTTAATGGGCTTTTTTAAAATATGAAGTAGCAATTTTTAATGTAAAATGGTTTTAATGTTTTCAATAGTTTATACGGAATGTAAAGCTTTTTATCCCTTTTAGCTTTTCAATACACCACTTTCGTGTACCAAAACCCCTCACTTTCAAAATCATGCCAAGTGCACCACCTTTCTTGTGAAATTGAGTTTTATTTGCATGAAAGTGACAAATTATTTCCATATCAAAGGCTGAGCACTTAACCTCGTTTTGATACAGAGGCCCAGGGGAAACTAGGAAATGGCCTGTTGCTTTTAACTGTAACTGCTCTTAGTTTTCAGCATGTATATTTGCTTAGAACATAAAAGATCTATTATTATTATTATTATTATTATTATTGAAAATATGCAACATTGTGCTCTCGTCTGACGAAAAGGTGATTTCAAGCAAAACTCAGTGTCTCCCATCAGAAAGAGAATTCAGTCCGTTGAAACGTTGCGCTGTCATTTGAACAACTTCAAGACTGAACAGCGGCGTCGGTCCAGTGCAATCCAGCGCCGTGTTTTCCTTTTATCTCGGATTATTTTGGTTTGAAAGTATTTTCCAGACATGCATGTTTCGAAGGTTTATGTGTTTTACCTGTGGATTGAGGTCGGCCCATCCTTAACCAATATTCTCACTGCATAATTAATTAGCTCACCGCAGTTTTTTTTATATAATCTGTGCTTATTCCGTCGAAAGTGCGCATGCTTGTGTAGGTTGTAATGCATTGCGCCCCTCGACTATAAATTTGGCCGTGATGCCTTAAAAACGTGGTCATTTTAATGATCGGTACCCCGGGACCACGGTCAATTTTCGCGACCCGCCCACCTCCCCTGGTGGCGGTTGACAACTTTAGTGTTATCCGCATTGTATGCTTATTGCCTCAGCAGCGCGGACTTTTTCCCATAACTTAATATTACGCGGTGAGGTAATGAGTATGCAGTGAGGATAAAGGACCAGGTTAACTCTCTCCATGTAAGTCCCATGACGTTCGCCTAGTTCCTAGGCCTCATTATTCCGTAAATAATGTTTGACTGAGCAAACAAATATGGGAGTGGAGTAATTCTTTTAGAAAAAAAAGATCATTTTCCTGACTTTCCAAGGTTATTGAATGAGATTAAATCTCTCTTCAGTTAACAACTCTGCTGGTCTCCAAATGAAAATTTTACTCTGTTTTGTGCGGCTCAAAGTTTTTTTGGTGCCGAAGAACATCTATAAATAGTCTGAAATCTAACATTCTTGCCTTGCATGGGAGATGGAGGCACAACGGGATGGATTCTTGGGGCGCGATCCATTCAACCAAAATTCCAACCGGTCCCAACGGGAAAAGTGGTCCACCTCAAAAGGTGAACCCGTTTTTTCGAAACTTCTCCGGTTGGACCAAACCGATCCATTGAGTTTTGGACCGAAATTTCCGGAAATTTTGGTTGAATGGATCGCGCCCTTGGATTCAGTTATTGATTTACTCTATTGTTTCATTAGGATTTGTCACCTTGCAAAGCTTCTACATCACAGGAAGTCCAAGGAAACAGTTCGAGCTCCTCTTCCAGCAAAGAATTGAGAGCTATATCCTTAAAAGGTCAGTTAAAATATAATGTATGTCTTCATCTGTTATATTTATAGACTCAAGATATATATCCTTAAAAGGTATGATATGCCGGATTTACTTAGTAAAAAGACGCCTTGACACTCATGAAATGTGAAAGCATTTTTCAAACAAAACATATGTAGGAAATGTCATGAACAGTCGCAACTTCGTTTTGACAGAAATGGGCCAATTAGAACGATAACTAATATCAAAACTCTTACTAGAGGGGTTGGCTTTAAGGGAAATAATTGTGTCTGAAACAAGTCAAATACTTCAAATATATTTACTGTTCAAGAACAGAAATGCCGAGAAAAAGCTCCATGTTTTCGCTCTATTGAGGGAAGTTGAAAGAAGACGAGAATAACTGGTAACTGTAATGTGGATGCTTTTTAATACGGTGCTTAAATTTGCTTATTTGAAGATAAATACTGTACTTGCTATTATTGGTATTTTTTGTGGACCGGTAACATTACTTTTTGTTTCTTTAGTAACCCGTCAAAAAGTAAACTGAAGCCGTTAACTTCAAACCAAAATAGTGTGATTCTATTTGTTTTATTGTTTCATAAGTTTGACTGAATTTTATTCTCGATCATGTGTCCTCTTCGCCAGCAATGGATTCTAGGCTGTAAATTTTGCATTAGTGCTAAAAGTGAAATTGGTGTAATTCGTGTCAAAATTTAAAAATCACGTGTTGTACCGCAGTGGCTGTCGTACCCACTGGCAAAAAAGTTATTGAAATTATCACTGATCTGCCTTTTAATTTCAGGGTCAAAAGAGGGCAAAAGGCCGTTAACTTCAAGTAGCACTCTAGCATCAAAGTCCCCCAAAACTTTGGAAGATGAAGGTAAAGTTTGCTTATGTATGACAGAGTTTATGACCGTCTCAGTACTGACGATTGCGTCGACAGCAATATTGAAATTGTTTGATCTGCATTGACGAACTTGTGTTCAGGATTAAACCCCCCCCCCGCTCCCCCTCTATCTTAAGGATACTCAAGATACTGTAGTCGCTCTCATCTGTTCCAGGAACAAATCTTGAACTTCTCTAGTTTGACGCGCATTCTTTCTAATTCGAGCGTGTTTTATATTTTCCTTCAGTTAGAACCTGGCGAGAACAGAAATCTTTTGTTCTGATCATTTTCGCATTTTTCAAAAAAATGTAGTCAAGTCTCCTTCATGTGAGTCCTTTGCGTACGTACTATGAGTTGATGCTTAGGAACCAATGAGACTTCGGCATCTAAACATGATATTGCTAAAGGTCAAACAAAGGCACTTTCAGACGGCCATCTTGATTTTTCACAATTTTTTCGTCTTTTATTACGGCTAAAGGTGTTTAGAAGCATAGCATTGAAATATCTTCATGATTCAAATACTGAGTACAGTGATGCAGCTGTTTAAGGGTTCATATTTTAGTGTGGGATAAAATCGCGCATGATACAACGCACGTATTTCATAATTTATGAGTTCTGTTTCACCTGCTTCAGGGTAGAGTATAAAAGATCATACATTTTTCAAAGTTCTTCCAGTGAAACAATAATTGATATTTAATGGACTTTAATTCGGAAGTATGCGGTCTGTAAATTGTGGTTTTAGAAGTTTAAAAGGCAGCTTATTTTTTTTGAAAGCTGTAGTAAGTTATAATCCTGTAAACAAGCTTTATTCTCTCGCTTACAAAGTTCAACAGACCTTTTTCGTTCCGGCCAAAAAAAACATGAATTAAGTGAACAACATGTTACATGCTTGCTGCTTAAGAATCATTATAGTTATTGAAACGTATTTTATATATTAAAGATGCGTAACTAAAGTAGAAACACTAACGTTAGAGATCAATTGGAAGAAGCTAGTTGACAAAATAATTAGATATTGTTTCGTGGAGCGGAATAAAATAATATGAGTAGAAATATATTTGGGCAGTTTGATAATTTTCTTGGAAGTAAATAAATGTTAGGCTATCAACCTTAACGTTGCATGAAGCATAATTTAAGTGCAGATATTGTAAAGCCGAGGTTATTTCTTAAAATCGTTTTGAGCAAGTTTTCTACTAAACAATTTGCGTATTTGTTACATACGAATTGTAAAAGGGACAAAGTCCAACATCTTCACGTGCAAATTGTGTGCTTGAGTTATTTTTATAATCCTGCTTACTAGATTAATGTGATACCTCGAATTCCCTCACATTAATGTACAGCAATACCCAATTTCGCACACAAAAAAAATAGTCTAAGTTTAGGATTAAAACAGTAGATTGTTGATACGGTTACACTGAAGCATTCAAAATGGCTCATGCATGTTAAACGTGCCTATGTTCCACTTCCTTGATGATGGCCTTGTTTATTAAAAGCTGGTCTTTGCTGCCATAGCTCCCTCTTCGACAGCCCTGGCTTTTGTTCTATGGGTAGCAGGTTGTTTTCATCAAGATGTCTGCCGGTAAACTCTCTCAGTGATGATGGATGTTAATATCTTATAGGTTGTAGGAAGGCATGTGATGGGGCAATAGTTTTTACTATTTTTGGTGTCTTCTGTTTTGGTAAGCAGAGAGGTGATACCAGTTGTTAGCCAGTCAGGAGAGGTTTCAGCGTTGCTGAGACATTCATTGTAAGCATTTGTCAGGTCTTGGTGTAAGGAAGGCAGGTTCTTGATCCAGAAGTGGTACCAGAGGCTTTCCAGTTACTTGCTTTCTTAACTGCTGTTTTTGTTTCTTGTAGGGTTATTTGTGGACAGACTTGATGATTGATTTCAATATTCTCAGTTTCTATTTGGCCGAGCCAGTCAGCGTTTTTGTTGTAGCTCTTTTGTTTTTCCCAGATGTTTCCCCAATTCCCCAGAAGCTCTCTACTTCATCAATTTTAGGTTGCCTTAATCTCAATGGACTTTTCCCTAGTTCTCTATAGAATTTCTTTGCGTTTTCTCGGTAAGTATTTTTCTGGTAGAAAAACTTCTTTCTCTTTTCAATCTCTTGATTCGTCTGGCTTTAGCTTGTAGTTGTTGTTTCAGTTTTCCAGTGATTGTTGGTATTGGTTTTCTTGTTGAATGTTATGCTTGCTAAACAGTGTCTTTTGTCGTTTTTCTTTGACGTGCTTTTCGTGCTTTATCTCATTCAACGTAGATACGTCATCCCTGATCCCTGATATTTCACCTTCAATTTTCTTTTTCCATTTTGGTTGCCTTGGTTTGGTTTTCTCAGCTTGTTGTTCCTTTTTGTTTTTATGCCCAGTGATTCTTTAACAGTAGAGCAAATGCATAAGATGGTTGATGTTTGTGAGAGATCTGGTTGACGGCTTAGTATGGCTTTGTTTGCTGTTTCAATGGCTGATTTTGCGTGTCGCTCATTTTTTATTTTTGGAATTGGTGGCCTCTGACTTATTGGGGTTTCCTTGGCTATTTCATATCTTTGGAGAATACTTTCTTTAATGATGCCCACAGTTTCATCTTGTGTATCGAGGCTCAGTGGTTCTTGCACATCAGATTCACTATTTTTGTCAATTTCTTGATTGTTATTTTTATTTTGTTCCTCTGGCACTGCATTCGCATCTCTCGTATAAGGTGTAGTATTTTCAACTCTCTGCTTCACACTTAGCTGGATTGCAGGCAGCTTCATTTTGGTTAGTCTTTCTCTACTGACCATGTCACGACAGACATTTGCCAGTTTGTTGACATTTAAGTTAAGCTTCTTGGTGGGGTTATTGACACACCATAGGTGGGTAGGTGCCTTGAGTAATAGCGGAAGCAGTTTATAGAAAGCTTCCATGACTCCTTTGTACTCTTCCCTAGACCATTTTTGTCGACTGGGTTTGGAAGAATTGTGAGATGGTGCAACATGAGGGCCGCTTTGAGGGGCGTGGTCGGTGTGGAAATCCTCAGGTGCATGATGGGAAGAGTTTGTGCCAGTAATGGATTTTTCGACCTCAGCCTGGTTCCCTGCCGAGGGACGCGGCCCTTGTTCACCTGTTCGGTATGAGAATTTTTTACTACGACTTGCCATGTTTTATTTGCTGAGGCTGATTTTTATTCAGAGTTTCCTTTTCATAGGTGAGCTGTCAACTAAGACTAAGGAGCCCCTCCTACCTCTATGTTGTAAACTTAACGGAGGTGGCTTAGGGGCTGCGGATACTCGCCAAAGGTATCACCCCAGACTCTGGTGGGCGGGGAACCACATTCCTGTGGTAGGCTGAGGCTCCAACCTGTCCTACCCCAGTGTCCGTTTTATTATTGTTGTTGTTGTTTTTGTTATTATTGTTATGATGATGATGATGATGATGATGATGATGATGATGATGATGATGATGATGATGATGATTAATATTATATAAGATATACTAGTGTAATTGCGAGTGATTTTCTCTCTCAACATCCGAGTCCAAACCAAGAACTTTGGGAGGCAAAGAGGGTTTCTTCTTGATGGAGAGGACCCGCCTGAGGAGGTGGGCTGTAGAAAGGAGAGTTATTTTCTGGAGTTCATGTATGTTGATGTTGCCAGGGATTTTGCTGCTGTAGTTTTGCTCCCACATTCTCTCAACTTCGATTTCCAAGTCTTTGTCTTTGTTAAGCTTTTCCTTGGTTTTGACTGAGGTGTTGGTGTCAAGGGGTATAGTCATATCAATGAGAAGGTGGGTTTTGTCCTTCTTGTTCTTTAGCACAATATCAGGCCTATTAGCTGCTATGGTACTGTCAGTGTGGATGGGCATGTCCCATACAATAGTGACGCTGTCATTCTCGGTGACAGTCTTGGGTTCATGCTCATACTATCGTTCCCTCACCTCAATGCCAAACTCTTAGCAGATCTTCCAGTGCATCTGTGCAGCTGCCTTGTTGTGGCGGTGGATGTATTGCGGTGGTTAGATGTATTGTGTTGCGCTAAAAGTTGTTATTGCGAATCTTCCCGTGTAACATCACCTTAAGATTTTGCGACGGATTCTGGCTGTAAGATTTAGCTTCTTAGTATTTGTCCTCACTCCTTGTAAAAAATCAACTGGCTCGTTTACCCCTCTACGTCTCCTATATTTTTGGTCAAAGTTTCAGCAATCTCATGGTAAGCCTGCTGTGTGATCGTTGCATGTGCACGAGTGAGACGCTAGCAGTCATCTTTTTACTGCACCTTTATCCAGGCTAAAGGCGATAATGCCAACTTTGGACTTGGTGTCTCGATTGATTGATTACTTTTTGTTTGGTTTAAAAATCCAAATCCATACTAGGAGGTTCTCTGCACTGCAAACTCGACATCCAGCAATACGTGTTAGCATAGTTAATTTAAGTGGAATGGTTGGGAAACCCTTAGGTTTTTGCTAGCTTTTTTGGACCTGTCCGTGCACAACGTTCAATAGCATTCCTATCAGTTTGAACTTACTGACCAACAGAAACATTGCATTAATTTATTCAGTCACAATTTGTGAACAAAAAACATATGATTGTGCAAGATCAGCGAACTTCCATCATAAACTACAGCACCGCGACGCTACTACTGGTTTCCCCGCCAAATGACGTCTGAGAAACGAGCGCAGAAATTCCATACTGATGACGCGTCCAGTACCCAGATCTGGCGTCATCAGTATGGAATTTCTGCGCTCGTTTCTCAGACGTCTTTTTTGCGGGGAAACCAGGGGTAGCGTCGCCAAATGTCGGCTGTGTTCTCAGGCTAGTCTGCTCGCAGCTTACTCTAAGTTGACCCTGTTTCTTGTTTCCTAATGCTCTTTCCATTATCGTGCACATGGTGAGGATGCAAGTCCTTAGGGGTAGAAGGGAAATTGCCTTTGGCTAGATAATTTCTTCTTCCTCCTGCGTTTTACGTTCATCTCTCAGCTGCGCTAAAACTACGAGTCTTTTTATTGTTTTTCAGGAATTGTTGAACCAGTTGCAAACACCTCCCTTCCTTTAGCTGCCATCAAGACTGAGGGCGAACAGACCTTACCTACTGACTCCGCGCCGTCAGAATTTTCTCAGGTAGATATAAAAGAAATATGTGAAAAAGTCACAATGCAGCTGGGCATCTTTGAAAGTTATATGAATGTTTTGTAAAACTATAACAAATAGTACACTTCTTAGTTCGGTTGTTTTTAAAAAGACTCCTTATCGTTTGTCTTTGTTATTGATCGGGGCGTGAAAATCTTTTAGTAGCACCCTGGTTGCTAGTGACTGGTGCATTTCTAACCTCACTCATGGCTGGTGGATTTTGTTCCTTAGCATTGTTGGTGTTAGAATCTGTTCCTTGAGCAAAGCTGTGGTGCATTCGCGCTTCTGCATTCTCTGTTGATGTTGGTAGGGTGAAGTCGATCTTACGTGGTACGTTAATCTGTTTTACCCTACGAGAGTGACAATGAGGATGTCTTCCAATAAGCTCAGCCTTGTCGGCTTAAAGAGGATATTGGCTGTATTTATGTGCGTGATCTACAAACGAGTTTATAAAAGCCATATGTCTATCTCATGCTGTGACCCTATTGGCTGGATTGACGTGACTCCAATCATAGCGCGCTGTTTTGAAAGAACTATCATCACTACAGTAAAAAAGTCTTTGTGGAAAATCTGACGGACACCCAATTTTCGTATAGGGATGGCTGTAGTTGTGCGGACGCCTCAATTCAAACACAGTATAACTATTTAAGGGCACTTGATGATAAGGATTGTAGCTATGTCAGCTTTTTGCAGTTGATTTTTCAAAGCCTTTGATAACGTGCAACACTTATTAGTACCTTTATGTCCAGTGATAAGGTGTTTGCGTAAAGAGGGATACCAACAACCAGATGTAAATTACGTTTTTAGATTCAATAGTTCTACCGAAGTTAACTTACTGTCTTACATTATACACCTCCTCAACGCCCGGCAGTCAAATTGTTTGACTGAGCAATCAAATATGGCTGTGGAGTAATTCTTTTAGAAAAAAAAGATCATTTTTCTTACTTTCCAAGGTTATTCAACGAGATTAAATCTCTCTTCAGTTAACAACTCTGCTGGTCTCCAAATGAAAATTTTACTCTGTTTTGTTTGGCTCAAAGTCTTTTTGGTGCCGAAGAAAATCTATAAATATTCTGAATTCTAACATGTTGGCCTTGCATTGGAGATGGAGGCCACAACGAGATGGATTCCTGGATTCAGTTATTGACTTCACTCTATTGTTTCATTAGGATTTGTCACCTCCTTGCAAAGCTTCTACATCACAGGAAGGCCAAGGAAACAGTTCGAGCTCCCCTTCCAGCAAAGAATTGAGAGCTGTCTCCTTAAAAGGTCAGTTAAAAAATATCGTATGGCCTCATCTGTTATATTTATAGACTCAAGATATATATCCTTAAAAGGTATGATATGCCGGATTTACTTAGTAAAAAGACGCCTTGACACTCATGAAATGTGAAAGCATTTTTCAAACAAAACATATGTAGGAAATGTCATGAACAGTCGCAACTTCGTTTTGACAGAAATGGGCCAATTAGAACGATGACTAATATCAAAAATCTTATTAGAGAGGTTGGCTTTAAGGGAAATAATTGTGTCTGAAACAAGTCAAATACTTCAAATATTTGCTGCTCAAGAACAGAAGTGCCGAGAAAAGGCTCCATGTTTTCGCTCGTATTGAGGGAAGTTGAAAGAAGACGAGAATAACTGGTAACTGTAATGTGCATGCTTTTTAATACGGTGCTTAAATTTACTTATTTGAAGATAAATACTGTACTTGCTATTATTGGTATTTTTTGTGGACCGGTAACATTACTTTTTGTTTCTTTAGTAACCCGTCAAAAAGTAAACTGAAGCCGTTAACTTCAAACCAAAATAGTGTGATTCTATTTGTTTTATTGTTTCATAAGTTTGTTTGAATTTTATTGTCGATCATGTGTCCTCTTCGCCAGCAGTGGATTCTAGGCTGTAAATTTTGCATTAGTGCTAAAAGTGAAATTGGTGTAATTCGTGTCAAAATTTAAAAATCACGTGTTGTACCGCAGTGGCTGGCGTACCCACTGGCAAAAAAGTTATTGAAATTATCACTGATCTGCCTTTTATTTTCAGGGTCAAAAGAGGGCAAAAGGCCGTTAACTTCAAGTAGCACTCTAGCATCAAAGTCCCCCAAAACTTTGGAAGATGAAGGTAAAGTTTGCTTATGTATGACAGAGTTTATAACCGTCTCAGTACTGACGATTGCGTCGACAGCAATAGTGAAATTGTTTGATCTGCATTGACGAACTTTTGTTCAGGATTAACCCCCCCCCCCTCTATCTTAAGGATACTCAAGATACTGTAGTCGCTCTCATCCGTTCCAGGAACAAATCTTGAACTTCTCTAGTTTGACGCGCATTCTTTCTAATTCGAGCGTGTTTTATATTTTCCTTAAGTAAGAACCTGGCGAGAACAGAAATTTTTTGTTTTGATCATTTTCGCATTTTTAAAAAAATGTAGTCAAGTGTCCTTTAAGTGAATTCCTTGCGTAGGTACTATGAGTTGATGCTCAGGAACCAATGAGATTTTGGCATCTAAACATGATATTGCTAAAGGTCAAACAAGGGCACTTTGAGACGGCTATGTTGATTCTTCACAATTGTTTTGTCTTTTATTACGACTAAAGGTGTTCAGAAGCATAGCATTAAAATATGTTTGTGATTCAAACACTGAGTACAGTGATGCAGCTTTTTAAGGGTTCATATTTTAGTGTGGGCTAAATCGCGAACCATACAACGCACGTATTTCATAATTTTGAGTTCTGTTTCACCTGCTTCAGGGTGGAGTATAAAATATCATACATTTTTCAAAGGTCTTCCAATGAAACAATAATTGTTCTTAGATGTGGACTTTAAATCGGAAGTATGTGGTGTGTAAATTGTGGTTTTTGTCGACAAGAACGAAACCCTTGTTCGTTAGCTTCACGGGATGAGGATGATGTTGAGGATCGCCTCGGGTCTCCCAAATACTATTTTCTCTTTCAGATTTAAAATATCCTCTAGGTGTTCTTCCGAGCAATCGTCTCCTACGTACGATGCTCTAACGCCACGGGAATTTAGGTTTGAGACCTGATCTTTCATGAGAGAAATCAACGGAACAATCACCAACCCCTCACCAACACGATGGCATTGCAATCGTCGCCAAATAAATGATCGAAAGTGTATGGAGCTAGCTCAAAAGTCAGACTCTTGCCACCTCCGGTTGGAGCAGACACGATATGCTTCGATTGTTTTCCGTTGATAGTACACAGGGTCCAGAGGAGATGTGTTTGTCGTTAGAACATCAAAACCCGTCGAAAACCTCTGAAAAAATGGGTTATTTTGATCGCGTTACGGTTTCGTTACACATTCTATAGACCTCCGGGCGACGGCCTTCGGTCACCCTTCGGGCGACGTGCCGTGCGCCCGCGAGGATATGGCTTGCGGTTGTTGATTTTCAAAAGTCGATCAGATAAGAAGCGAAGAAATCGTTTACAGTAGATTTATAAAGATCCCATTGGGCTAATTAATCGTGCTAAGCGACAGGTATAGACATTTTTCAAGGTAAGTAATTCATTTATTCACACGAAACTCCTCTGGACCCTGTTATAGTAACGCAATTCAGAATAGCCCGTGGCCCGTGGCCTCAAGAGTATCTTTCATCGCTTTCGCAATCGACCCCATGTTGAACCGTAAGTCACGTTTCAATGCGCTTAGTATTTGTGAGTGACAGCTTTATCCCCAAGTGTCCTCGGGAGCTGCTCTGATTGGTCCAAGCGCACCGAGCCGTTTTTGGGTCGGTAAAACTGGCGCCAATCAAGTATGAAAAGTCCTTCGTTCCGCGCCATATGAAATCCGACGAAAGACTTTTTTGAAAGTCTACAGATCACTCTGCAATTACATTGTCGATTAACGGTATAGATGTCAGTAAACGCGGTCCAAGCTTTTGGAAGTTTAGTTGTTCTTTAGTGAATGATAATAATTATTGCGATCTCTTTGACACAAACATCAAAAGTTGGCTCGAAGAATTTAAGGATGTTGACAAGCGTGTCTTATGGGACTTGCTAAAATACAAAATTCGACAACTCACTATAAATTATAGCGAGTCTATCTGTTTGTCGAGGGTCGAGGGTCGAGGGTCGAGGGTTCCATGTCGAGGGCGAGGGTACCATGTCGAGAAGGAACGCAAAACCAACACTGAGTCTATCTTTTTGTCGAGGGTTCCATGTCGAGGGTAACATTTTTTTTTCCAAATTTTTTTTTTTTTTTGGAAAAGGTAATAATCAATGCAATCAATGTCATTAAAACAAATAAGAAGAATTTAAAAAACAAATGGCGCGTGAACATCTTCTACTTGTTGGGTGGGGGAGGGGGCGGGGGGGGGATGGAATAGAGAAAAGCTCCGGGACATCCCAATTTTTTTTGGAAGAATTACATTTATAACACCCCGGATACCCATACGACGAACAGAACAAAAAACACTGATTTTAAAAAAAATGTTGTAAACAAATTTAAAATGTCGTAAAACAAGAATGAGTGCGTTGAATTATGAATTTCATAGTGTAAAAAAGGGGGTCGGTAGACAACACACGACTTTTACCTCATGCCAAAATGCTGCTTGTTCCAATAACGTTTTCTTTTTCTCTGACGGGTAGATTATGCTCTGGAGCAAAACGTTTTGACTGATCAAATGTGATTTTAGCCGCTTATTTCAAACTGAGAGGTCGTGACACGCATATTGATTTTCTGCGGTCATTGTTTCTGGTCGGCATGATTTGCCCTCTGATGCAAGAGCTTTTTTTCTTTGACCTCTTCTGAAATGTAGAGTTCTTCATTGCGGCTAATAAAGGGTTTTAGTTTGCTAAATTTCTCCAAAGTGCCTCCTGGATCTGAATAATTATAAGCGATTTTCTTTTTGTCCGTGAATGTGACGGTTACCTGCAATGAGTTGTCACGCTGGGCCCAGCTCGTTAGCGTTTTCAGGATGTTTAGTGATTTACAGATCCAAATCTCGAAGAATGGGTTGTAGCTTAAACTGAGGCTACATCAACTATGGAGAGTTGCGATGTGACTCAGTCATGATTACTCTAAAACAATGAATTTTTAACTCCAGATTTTTTTCTATTAATGTGAGTCTTTGGACTGGAGCGCGTAGTTCCTCCCTTGATCATAACTTGAGGTTCGTGTGGAGAACCGAAACCATGGTCTTGCCTGATCACAAAGTGGCAATAACAGAACAGTCGCAAGACTGTTAAGCTTATTCGAAAGTTATCATCAAGGGAGGAACTACGCGCTCCAGTGCACACTAGGGAAAAAGATGTGTACAAAATTAGTTTCGCCACATGACTTCCTATTATCCCACTGCCGCCATCAAAACAAAAGCTCGGAACCGGACAGCTAAAGTTAACGAACTGGAAGAAAAATTACACAACTGTACCAAAACGTGTGACAACGATCCATCGAGACGAAATGTTGAAGATTTGGAATGCTTACAGGCAGAAGAAGACCAACTGTACAGGGTGTCCCAGAAGTTCGTTCCTCTAATTTCATGCGCTATAACCTTTTGATCAAAACTTCATTTTTACATGAAATTTCTAAATATGTTTCTTACTCTATCGAGTACTTGTGTTCAGAAGTTCAGTTACCGGCATCTCCCCTTTGTTTTTTTATCACACTCGGTAGCCGCTGCAGCATTAAGTGAGATAAGCCATGTAGCATGTAGAGCCCTAGATGATTCGTTTTCAGCTTTTTTATCACCTAGTATGTAGGAGTCACTTCGACCCCCAAACAATATAATTTTTTAGATTAGGCAGCTGAAACAATATAGTTTGGGCATCGATCCAAGAAAAGATGATCATTCCGTCCCCTTTCCACAGTAAGGCTTTTGTTCTTCTTTGCAGATTTGAGACTAGCTGAACGTTGTTTGGCGGACGGCCCTGGCCGGGAGGAAAGTTTTTTTTTTTGCCATCTTAGGGGCCTCCAAACTTTGCTTTTCATGAACCTGCTCCAGACTTAACTTGCTAACTGTTGTAAGAGCTACCTCGTTAGGTTTCCTGTTTTGTACATGGCCTTCTTTAAAACTATTTTAGCGGTTTTAGGCAGGACTTTCGGTCTTACCCCTCGTTTCTTGTCTGTAAAACCTTCATTTCTCCATGACCATCTTACCACCCAACATTCGGATTTTTCCATTTTTTTAGGAATTTGTTTTACTGATAAGCCAGTACATAGAAATACATGCTTCTGCTTGCACGTAGCTGAGTGTTTTTTTCGTTGAGAGGGCTTAATCTTTCAGGATATTCACACAAAACAAACCAGGAGTTCGAGCATTTCGGGCGACAAAATGCAAAAAATATATGGCGGGAAAATTTACTCGGGCAGCGCACCTTTGGCGCGAAATTACACAAATCGAATTTCGAGTCAAAAGATGGCACAAGAAGTATGAAATGTTAAATTAGATTGAAAGTCACAACTTTGGTTTAAATTATGTGCTGATCAAGTTCAATCGTACTGCGTTACAGACTTATAAAGTAGAGGAACGAACTTTTGGGACACCCTATATGATTGCATTACTCAAGGAGCTATTTTTCGTTCTCGTGCAACGTGGTACGAAAAAGGTGAAAAGAACAACAAATATTTTTTGAATGTGGAAAAATCAAATAAAAATAAAAGTTGTATGCGGAAAATTTTAAAAAGCGACGGAACAATAGCAGTTGACCGAAAAACAATTATGAGTGAATTAGAATTCTTTTACTCCAATCTTTACAAAGAGAATAATAGTCATTCATCATCATTTCTATATGACTTAAAGGAAGTTCCTACCTTTACTGAAGAGTTGCGAATGGTATGTGAAGGAAAGATAGAATACAATGAATGTTTTAATGTTTTACAATCCTTTCCAAAAAATAAAACGCTTGGGAACGATGGACTAACAATAGAATTCTATGTGGCTTTTCGGTCTTTGATTGGGAAACCTCTAGTAGACTCACCAATTACTCTTATGAGTTTGGAGAACTTTCAAACTCACAGAAACAGGCTATAATCACATTAATTGAAAAAAAAGGAAGAGATAAACTTGTAATTATCAATTGCCGGCCTATATCGCTAATCAACGTCGATGCGAAAATTATTTCTAAAGTTTTAGCGAGGCGCCTGGAAAAAATTTAATACATCCCAATCAGAATGCATTTGTTAAAGGTAGGTCCATATTCGATGCAATTAGAACGATTGATGATATTGTAGATTACACCAAACGGAAGAGTTGGTCGGGATTTTTGATCGCAATTGACTTTGAAAAAGCCTTCGATACACTAGACTTTCAATTTCTAATCAGAATATCACACATTTTTAATTTTTGCCCATCTTTTATTCAGTGGATGCGTGTTCTGTACAAAAATGCATCCAGCTGTGTAATGAACAATGGATTTACAACTGGTCCTTTTTAACTAGGTAGAGGTGTCAGACAGGGGGATCCACTCTCCCCTTACCTCTTCATACTAGCGCTTGAGACCATAGCTATAAAAATAAGAGAGGACTGAAATGTACAAGGGCTTAAAATTGGAGAAGAAATGATTAAACTGTCTCTATTTGCAGATGATACGACCTCTGTCATAAAGGACAAAACATGTTATACAAATCTGTTTCGTGTTCTCAACTCTTTTGGAGAGTGTTCCGGCGAATGATGAAAAAACAGAAATCATGCCTTTAGGAGATAATATCCTACAGGAGAAAGACTTCCCAACTCATAGTATTGGTGAAGTCATAAAAATCTTGGGGATATATTTGGGTTATGTTGGACATTCAATCTATGATTTGCGCAAGATGAGTAAGATGTTTAAAGAAATTATTGGAAGATTACTCAAGTCCTTGGAAAACAATCCTAGACAAACTTCTGTTCTTACCAATCGGAGGACGTTTTGTATTGCACTGCAACTTTCAAACTACCTACCAGCATATTATAAGGAATGCTTCGATGCTTGGTCGGAGGTTAATGGGAAAACTCCAAGTTGTTACGAAGAAATCATTAACGAAATATCTGGAACAACAAATTTTTTTGTTATGACCAAAATATCGATGTACAGAGGAGATATAGTAAACTTAGGCTTCGTGAAGATAAGGGATTTAATGTCTGCGAACAACTCCTTCTCGTGTGGCTTCTCCTCACTTACAAACTCCGAACAGAGATTTTTTCTTATGAGTGTTATAAATTCGATTCCCGCAGAATGGCGCTCACTTATTAAAGCATCTACAAACGTAACATCAGCCAACCCCATACCAATTACCCCAACTATTAAGATGGCAAGCGGTAATGTAGTGCCAATCCTTGATATCTCTCCAAAACAGATCTATCTAATCTTTCTACAGCAAAAGCAAATTACGCCCACCGCAAAACAGAAATTATGAAACAAGTACTCAAATATAGATATTGATTGGGAAAAGGTTTACACTTTGGCCTTTCAATGCACTTTAGACACAAAGATCAGGGAATTTCATTACAAAATTTTGAATTGCTTAATCTTTACAAACGTGAAACTTAATTTCATTGGTGTAGTGGAATCGCCAAACTGCACTTTCTGTCAAGAAGCAGCGGAATCCGTCCAGCATTTACTCTTCTCCTGCAGGATATCTTCTGAATTTTGGAAACATGTCCTGTCCTGGCTAAGAGATAATGATGTTCATGTTGAGACAATTAATGAGTCAGATGTGATATTTGGAAAGTTCGATATTGTAGAAGACTATATTCTAATTAATCATATTTTGTTATTAAGTAAATATTATATCTACTGTAGGAAATGTCATAATGGCGTACCTTAATTAGAGGTTTTATTGCTAGGGCAAGACGTGTTTTCAATATCGAGCTCCATATCGCCAGGGAGAAAAATAAACTTCTTTTTCATTTTCCAAACTGGGAGAAGCTAACTAATGCACTTAATAGTTGTTGGTGCACAGAGGTTCGTAAAAATGCCACTCTCTTCCTTAGCAGGCATCTATATTGTTGTCGTCGTTGTTGTAATATATATATATTTAGTATATACTAAAACAGTGGATAGTGTTTTTCGCGCGCTCTGATTGGCTACTCAATCAGTGAATATCCTGCACTATTCACTGATTCACCTCCAGTTCCTCCGAGCAAAATGCCTTCCCGGTTTGCTGCCGTAAACAAACAAAGAAATTTCACAACTAATCAAGCAAGCTGTTTCCGAAATACACGAAGAAGGTGACGAAGTTCGGATTGGAAGTTTTAACAGGTAAAGCTTTGTCTTTTTGACACGAATTTATCGATAAAACCGGTGAAAAAGTTTTTTGTTTACAAATGCAAATTAAGTTTAAGTCTTTTTCGGAACCAGGTGATCACTCTGAGCCTCTTTTTAAGAAATTAAACATTCTTAAATTAACTGATCTTGTTACCCTTCACAATGCACTCCTCATGTATAATTATCACCATAATCTTCTTCCATCTTCCTTTGAAAATTTCTTTAAAACGGTAGCATCCATACACTCATACAATACCAGGCTTGCTTCTAAATCAACCGATTACCTCAATACTATCAAAACAAACTATGGTAAATTCAACTTTCGCTTCGCGGCTGTAAAAGTTTGGAATAACCTTGATGAAAGCATTAAACACCTCCCCCTTAAATTCTTTAAAAACAAAGTCATGTCAAACATCTTACAGTCTTACTGTTCGCGAGTCTTTTTTTTTTTTTTTTCTCCTTTTTCTTTTTTTTTTCTTTTATCTATTTACTAATTCCTTGTTTTTTCTAGCTTTAGTGCCAACCTACCTCCTATGCCTGAACATTATTAAGCTTTACTCAGCTCGATTAGCTTTTTAGTTATTCTGAGTAAATGTTACCTTTTTTTGTATTAATATATTATATTGTATAAAATTAAGTTAACTTTTATTTGGTAATAAAGCTTATGTTGTTGTTGTTGTTGTTGTTGTTGTTGTTGTTGTCTTGCGTTACTTTATTTAGTTGAGTTGTTCATAAATAAGCTTAAAACTAAATGTAACAATCTTTTTTTATAGAATGATTTTAAATACAAAAAGAATTCACAAATTTCCCCGCAAGAGCTAAACAAATGCCTTCAAAAGTTTTAATTGTCGACTGGAAAAAGCGACGGCCGCGGCCGCCCGGTCATTACGCGCCAAAATTGTAATCGTTGGCAACAGTATTTGAGTTAAAAATAATCATTTTTGTGCTCAATTATCTCACTGTTTTAGTATATACTAAAACAATTATTCACTGAAGTGTCGGTGGCTAGTCGTGGATATTTACTTCACTGCTTCGCAGTTCGGTAAATATCCCCCCGACTAGCCACCTCCGCTTCGGTGAATAATTGTTATATATTTAACAATTATTCCTCGAGCCCGAATGGGCTCTTGTTTTAGTAAAATCCAACCAGTTTGGTAAAAAATATCTAGAATAAAAAACTTCTAGCCAGTTAAAGCTAGACTTTAATCCCTTTTTGCCGCCAAAAAGCCCGCGCTTTTCGTTACTAGTGGGCTATAACATATAGCCTAGTAGTAGCTCAACCAATCAGAACGCAGCATTGATAATAGACCACTAGTTGGATTTTACTAAATTTATATATATATATATATATTTTTTTTTTTTTCGTTGTTATTGTTATCCCTTTTCTTTTTTCTTTTAGGTTAGTATTTATTTCAGTGAAATAGTATAATTTAATTTATTTAATTAATATTTATTCTTAAATAACATTGTGAAACTTGTATTTAATTTAATTCAATAAAAACTGCTTAAAAGAAAAAGAAGGAGAAGAGAACTGATAAACTGAACTGAATTCAAGTATAAACCGAACTGTCATATAGCAAATCGGATTAGTTTTAAGTTACGGTTGATTGTAAAAATTACGAGTCCTTTAGTAGGACTACCAAATTAGGGCTAGGACTACCAAATAAAGTAATGAACACGTGCGAGAAAGATAGAACTGGACGAGACGAAAAAGAGAGCGAGTTTTCCTTGAAGAGTTTTTCATCGAGTATTGTGATTTATTGTGAGTTCTTTCCGAGAGAATAAAAGAGGAAACCGTGTTCTCGTGAGTTGTTACTGTGAGTTCTATGGGCTGTTTTATTTTTCAGCTCAGTTGATTTTAGTTTTTGCAATCGATCGCCCGCTACATCAACACACACACATGTGCGTAGGTTGGAGGCTTATTTAAAAAACAAATTCCTTAAAATTTTACAAGAAGGAAAAAATATAAATACGTTATTTGCTGGTCCGCCAGGGAGGATTCAGATGAAGGAATATCCTAGATAGGTCCTCGTAAACGGCTTTTGTTTCTCAAAATTCCCCCACTATCCCGTAGATAAATGTTTCTAAATGTAATTTAGGCGAGGTTAAAAACGAGACAATGCTGGCCAGCGGTCTCCACCACTAATCGTATGTGGGGCGGTCTTGGGGTTTAGCAGGGCCTTAGTGATTTTACAGCGCTTTTGCAGAAGTCAATCGTTTTGCTCACGTTGCCTTTGCGTGCAGGAGTTCTAGTTTTGTTTTGCCCCCAACCCTCCCTCCTGTCTGGATGTTTTTCTTGCTAAGTATCTGCGCCTTTTTTCACTGAGATTCTCAGTGATGGTGCCTGGTGGGTGCCGCTCACAGCGTTGTCGTGGTTATCTTCGAGGCTTGCTTGCGGCCCCCTTGTGTTTCATCAGGCACCTTCACCACACCCGTCTATTGTTGATGGGTTTAAATTGGATTTGTATGCGCGTGCAAACTTGCGTAGGAGGTCATCACCTTGTCGATATTTGGCAGGCACACTGTCCCTCTCCGTTCTCTCTCCATTCTCCCACTCGTTCTCTAAGGGACAGTGAAGCCTGCGAAGGAGGCTAGTATGGCAAGCCGTTTGTAGCAGTCAAGTCAAAAATTTATACAATCCAATCATTTTAACATAATAAATAAAGAATAAAAAAAGCATTTAATTTAATCTTTAAAAAATTCATTCAATCCAATCATTGAAATATTTTTCAATCCCATCACCGAAATATTTATTCAATCCAATCACTGAAATATTTATTCGATCCAAAAACGGAAACATATGTTTAATCCATTCATGGCCATATTTATTCAATCCATTGGAGAACACGTTCAATCCTCCAGGTGTTTCATTTAATCCTCCTGGGGCGAGCGCGGCCAACCCGAGTCGTAACATATATGGCTTCATCTTTTTTTTGTTAACGTTGCCCATTTTTGCCTCGCTGGAAAGGGAGGGGAAGGGGAGTAGAAAATGTTACAATCTGCCTTGTACTTTTCTTACATGCATCTTTAAAGTAAATTCATATTTGGATGGTACTCTTTACTTATTAATCAGGCTGGCGATATTCATATTGTTTTTCATAGAGAGCGCGTCTGAAACGTCGGCCACTGATCCTCCTCAAGTCATTGCTCGTCAGATAAGGAATAGAGATCTTCCTGCAAAGTCAAAGCCTTTTGGTGATTGCCAAATCCAAGTCGACATTTTGTTACTGACGGTGATGAAGGAAGATACCTGCGAGGATTGTGAATTTCTAAGCTGTCTTGCATATCTGAATCCTGATTTCTGTAAGATTTATCACCCAGATCTTGGCTACGTGTACCTCGGAGATATGGGAGAAGATGACTTGAAACTAAACGTTGCTGTTATGAAGTGCTACGAGGGTTCCAGCTCTACGGGAGGTTCTATAGTTGTTGTAATTAACGCTGTCAAGGTCTTGAAGCCGAAAGCAGTGTTTTGTGTGGGTTCTTGCAGTGGCCTAAATGTCACCAAAGTTAGTCTTGGCGACGTAGTAGTTTTGAAGAAGTTAGTAACATACGCTTTTTCAAAAGTTACGGAGAACGGTATTGAAGAACTTGGAGTCAAAGTTCCATTAAAGCCTCGTCTTTCGACATTGATTCTAAGTGCTGGCGAAGGTTGGAAGCCACCTTTGAAAGATCCAGGAACACTCGAGGTAAGGATACATCGCGGCACGTTTCTGAGTGGACCAGAAGTGATAAATAACCAGAAGCGGTGTAACGCACTCATCGAACGATTTCCAGAAGCAGTAGCTATAGAACGAGAAGGTGAAGGTAAGTTTCTTGGCCAGTTGCTGTGTTAACAGAGTGTTCATAAATTCAATTCAATTCTATTGTAATAGAGCATTATTTTAGGGGAGACCTCTCCGAATCAGATTTAAATGTGAATCCACAAGATTATAAACTGACGTTTTCATTACACAGTTACCGCCAGATTGAACTCGGCGTTTGTTTGAGTTTGCAGTTTTTGAGCGCCTGTTGGTTTTAAGAAAGGCGGAGTTGTTTTTTATTCCTTTTCTTGTCAGCGGGCTATTTTGCCTCTATATCTTAGGTTATTGTATGCCACACAAAAAGGTCATTGCCCTCTGCATATCGATGCTTTAAAATCAAGTTGAAAGTGATAATTATCAAGTCTTGTTGACTGTCTCTCTCCTTGACCTGGTTCTTTCCACCGGCGTCTGTATTAGTCAACTATTAACTCCACTTCTCTTACTCTTCATTTCCCACAAATCTCCTTTTCAGGTGTGTATGCAGCAGCGCATAACCTGGATATTGAGTGGGTAGTTATTAAAGGAATTTCAGGCTACGCTGATGGGAGAAAAGTTAAGGATTC